TAGTGGAATGAGCACTAAATCAGGAGTCAGAACACTGAATTGTGTGAGCTAATTGTTCATCTTCTCTGGTCTCCAGTAGTCTGCTTTGCAAAAACAGTGTTTTGGCTTTGTGATCACTGGCATCCTTCCAGTCCCCAAATCCTCTGACATACAAGCAAAAATATTGTTTACTGCCAGCCTTGTTTAAAAAGTAAATTAAGGAGGCTCAGAATATCACTTCTACCTTGTCTGTTTATCTTACATAAACATTTGTAAGACACAGAGAAGTCTTTCTGTGACCAGCCCATCACCAAAGTTTCTAGACTGTGCACTGACTGTGGGAAATGCCTCCTGTATTTATTGCTTGATTCACAATGTTTTTTGTTAATCTAAGGTTGCCTGTGGTTATAAACTTCATTGGAAACTTAATGTTACATAACAAAAAGCAGTTTTCATAACACATTTTCATGAAACACAATGAACACTGAATAACTGTTTGCAGACAGGGAAATTGAAGGACTCAAAGAGGGTAAGAGAAACCTTATATATGAGCCAAGTGAAGTTAGAAATTAAGCTTGGCTGAAGGGGTCAGGAACTGCCCCCCACCCCAATATCCAACTTATTTGCTCAAATATTCTGAAGAAATAATGCAGTATAAGTGTGAATGTAAGTTTCCAGTGTGCTCTCCAACACTTCCAATTATTAGGTCAAACTAAATGATATTGTATTTGACCACTTTTGATTTTTAAATAAGCAATTTCGTGTAGTTCCACTGAATAATTTAAAGCCATTGAGAAGCCCCTTGAAGGCACACATCCTAAAAGACAAAGAACTAAAATATAACTGGAGTGGATAGTGAATCCCTTACAAAAACTAGCTAGGGCATCAATAAAGGATGGTTTTCATTGATGGCTTTCAGTCATTTTTTTATTGATGTTTATGTGGCAGTTTGTAAATAATAGATGCATTTATAAGAACTTATAATTCCCAGAACCCCATTAATTGTTAACACTCTGAACTCTACTTTTCAAATGAAACAAATATTACTAGGATAGACTAATAGCTCAGTTATGTTTTTTGTTTTGCTTTGTTTTTAATGGCAAAGCCACTTAAAAATAGAGAATGCCTTAGGTAGAGATTATCAAACCTTTTGGCCAAGCACCATCCCTGATGTATTGTGGCAACTAACTGACTGGCAGTGGAAGAATAGATAAAATACTCTTCTTAAGCTATGGGGACAGGTTACCTAGTAACCACAGTATGGTTAAATTCTGTTTACAAAGACTTGTTCCCTTAATTGGACGAAAAGATTTAAAGAACACAGCTGGAGTGATGGAAGGCTATGTCAGTGGCTTAATACCCACAATTCTAGCAGCCTGTGCTAAAGGGTCACAATATGAGTGAATCTTTTGTTAACAATAAGAAGCCAGTTAAGCCACCTACAGAGTCATAATTTTATGGTGTTCTCAGCTGTAGGAAAAAATGAAAATAAAGTGTGGAATGGAGCATATTAAAAAGGGTAGTACGAACCCCATATGGTGTTACAGCTCTGAGAATGATCATTTTCTACAGACAAGATTATATGTGTGTTCAGATATCAGAGTTCTGTTCCACAAGAGAATTTAAACAGATCACTTGGGGTCTGCATGCCCTGATGTCACTCTTCTATGTCCGTTAGGCACATATTGCCTTACAGAGAACTACGGTCACTCCTGTTCTTTCCTGCTTTAACAATAAAACTAAGAAAAATCAAGTTATAAGATGACAATGATTATTTTTTTAATCCATTAAGGACCTTTAGATAATACAGTCATTTTTCCTGTGCTCAAAAAAGAACTCAGTATATATGTCACAAAGTATAATCAGAGAATACCTTGGAGTCACTTTTAAAACTGTTATCAGTCCTTAACACAGCTTCAGTAAGATTTGTAGGTTAATATTGCCTCGGCTTGGCTGGCTGCCTTGCTCACAGGCACGCAGCTTAAAACTTTCCTAAAGCCCCCTCTAGCGACAAACAGCAAATTCATCCCTTACTTCATAACATGCTAAGACCGTCAAGCTCTGAAGTTCCATTTCCTTATTCAGTTATGAGAAGAATCAATAGCTACAGTATTTTGAGTGGAGAATGACTACGAGACAGTCAGTAGCTTGAATTACCAAGTGTTCTTCAGTCAATGAAACCCTAAGGGACTTTGTTTTGAGACTGAGGTCAACACAAAGACCACACACACCATTCAATTCTATTTCTTTTACTTGGCTCTGCTCTGTATTACTTAAAAAAAAATTCCTAAATGTATTTCATTTTTGTCCTTTAGGGCCTTTAAGGAATAAAGTATGTTCATAACAACCCAATGAATGGAAAAATATTATGTAGCCTTTAGCTCTTGTTGCTTTTACTGCATTTATTGGATAATTTTCACTGATGGTTCTAAGCATGTCCAAACAGACAAACATGAATTCCAGGAATCCTCTGAATTATAAAACTACAGATTATATTTAAAGGTATAGATTAAATGTGTATATAATAATATATTTTAAAATAATATATAATATAATGAAATATATACACTATATGTTATATGTACTAGACCATTATAGTATGTGTAATATACAGCTTATTTTATTTATATCTTCATTTCCAAAGGTATTAAAACTCACTCAATAAAACATAGGTCCAATTGAGCCACTAAAATAATAGTACATTTTTAAAAGCCACCTGTCTAAAAAGGGAGTTAAGAGATGGGTAGAAACATATGCTATGAATAAATTATTGCAACTGAGCACAAATCTTAGTTTTGAGCTTCCTGTCAGTTAAGACAAAAAGAGAAATCCAATAATAAAGTAAGCATGCCAATTCATTAGGAAGAAAAATATTTTCCTTCGAAAATATACACAAATTTCTACATATCAATAACAACAATATTACCAATGGAATCATATCTTAACAATGCAAAATTCATATTTGAATATTCAACAAAAGGTCTTCAGGAATGCCTGCTCTCCAAGGCTATTGCACCTGGGCATGATTCTCCCAATGGAAAGATGTTCCTAGGAGCTAACTCTACAATAAGCCCGCACTACCTGTCTGCATCTGCCTGTGACCATGGACTGTCTCCTGGGAATATCAACTAGAAAGGTTCTTCTTTCCTTTGGCTACACACACACACAGTGAAAGCCAAGGACAAATTAAACTGCATTTATGGTAATACATTCACTGCTAAAATTGGAGAGAAAAATAACCCTATTGTGCATTCCTGAAAGAACTGGTACTAAATAGTTAAAAGAAAAATAATGAAATGAGGATGGCTTCACCTGAAGTTGGATATGAAGCAATATTGTCTCCAGACCCCTCTCCCATTTGCTGTCCTCTCCCAGTATTGGAGAACCTTCCTGATTTCAAAGCAATATCTACTTTTCATCCTAAAGTTTACTTGCATTAGAGGAGCTGGCACCACCTGTGTGTGCACCAAGCCACTGTGTGTTCTCTCTCCCAGGGGTGTTTGCCCTTTCAGTTTAGCTCTAATTCAATTTAACAAATGCTTACTGAAGGCCTGTTATATGCAAGGTATTTTCCAGATGCTAGTAGTGGAACAAAAGGCTTCATGTTCTTAGGAATTTTAAGCATTAGTGAGTAGGAAAGCAAGAGAGCTCTTGTTTTCTGGGTAGTATCTGTCTCTCTATCTCTGTATCCTTCGAAATGATCTTTGGTTTGGGAGTACAGAGTGATCACACATACTTCCACATTCCTCAGATTTTGAATCTAATTCTCTCCTACTCCAGAACCTTAGGGAACCAGGAGTCTAGGTGTTCCCATAACCAGATTTCTGGTTTATTACGCTTTGCTTGCTATAGCCTTTCCTGACTTACTCCCTTATGTCTGAATTTGCTGATACTCCATTTCTTCAGAAACAGGAGTCTTTGAAGAAAGAAAACTATTATTTGTTGAGTACCTTGTTGTACTTGCCAGGCACTATACATTACTCCTTCAACTACAAAGTTAATAGCATCTTTCACATTTTACAAAAGAGGAAACTGAAGCTCATAGAGGTTTAGAAACTAATTCAAGATCAAGGGGGCAAGCAGCAGACAACTCAATTAAGTTCACATATTTGGCTCCAAAGCCAGTACTCTTTCTATTACAGCAGTGGTTCCAACTGTGGGTCTGATTTTCCTCCCAGATGACATGTGGCAAAGGCTGGAGACATTTTAGATGGTCACAACGGGGGATGGGATGAACAGGTAGCTACTGTAGTGAGTGGGTAGAGGGCAGGGATGTTGCTAAATATCACACTGTGCAAGCACAGATCCCATAACAAAGAATTTTACATCCAGCCCAAAACGTCAGTAGTGACGCTGATAAGCACTGTATTACAGAATGCTCCCTGCCCTATTATGATCTTGTTTCCAGGGATTCAAAGGATAACTACTTCAAAATTAAACAAATTGTAGATAGCCACGCATCAGCCAAGGCCTTGTTCTTGTGGCAACTCTCCTCTGTCATAAAGGAAAACAGATTGGAAACTTAAATATAAAAAGGCGGCAGTGGGGGGAGCGGAGGGTAACTCAGTAAGCTGAAGGGAAGTGCAACCTCATAATTGAGGTCACGAATCAAGAAGTATGTAAATGTTTTTTCATCGCCACGATTTTCAATAACCCAGATGTTCTCCGCTTTGAAACTTAATTACCTGGGACTGGTTAAATGTTACTGACTTCAACCAGCTTTTGAATTTGATTTTTGCCGGGACCCAGGGGACGTGGATGCCAGATGAGACGACATTCTCTCTCCGCTCTTCCCGCAGGGACAAGGCCTGCCCGGTGCTGGGTGGCTTGACGCCTGACAGGCGGCCGCGCTGGGTACTACCGGCAGGCTCCCTCAGCAGCAGGCTGACGCTGCGGCACTTGCCCCGCCCCGCCCCTCCATTCTCGACGACCCTCCTTCTCGCCCCGGGTACCCCCGGGGGCGGGGCCGGGAGAGCGCCCGTCCCTGCGGCGTGACGTCACAATCCCGACGCCGCGCCGCCGGCCCTTAGCAACCGGCCTGGCGACGGGCTCCGTTGAGCTGCTCCTCTTGCCCGTCTGCAGCTGCTGCGGCTAGCCCGGCCCCGGAAAGGACCGAAGGGGACCCAGGGTGTCCCCACGGCGGCTGCAAGAGGACCTAAGCATGGATGGCAGCCGAAGAGGTAAAGGGCCGCGTTCGCGGGCGATCGCTGCCTGGCGCCTAGCGGCGGCCGGCGCCCTGAACCTCCGGTCCTGGATCCAGGTCGCGGGTGCGCGGGTGGAGGCCGCCCCTGGGCGCTCCGGGTGCCCCGATGAGTTGCCAGTGTGACCTAACTCTCCAGAGCCCTCACACAGGAAGAGGCTCTGCTTGTCCGTTGGGCAGGTCCGCTTCTTTCTCAGAATTCGTCGCCCTGACTGCAGGAAGCCCGGTCCCATGAACTCGGGGTCGTGTATTCTTCCAGTAGAAGGCTGTTCCGTCTACATTGAAACTGTGTTATTTACTGTAGCCGCCTTCATTAATTACCTTGGCTAGATCTTCCGGATAACTTGAGGCAGCTTATTCATCAGCACGTAACTGCTTCATGTGCTTTGACGTGATGGAGATGGCTTCTTTCCTCAAAACTCATGATCAAACCTCTGCTAGCTTCCAGCGTTTTTTTCTGCAGCTTCCTTACCTCTCTCAGCCTTCATAGAGTTGAAGAGATTTAGGGGCCTTGCCCTGGATTAGGCTTTGGTTTAAGGCAATGTTGCTGATTTAATCTTCTATCCAGACCAAATTTTCTCCCTATCAGTAATAAGGCTATCAGTCCCTCTCCTCCAACACCAGATGCAATGGTGTATTTTTTCCCTACATATATGTATAACAATAACAATATTATACATAGCAGTAATAGTAGTATAACTTCATTCGCTTTCCTGGACCCAGTTCCAATATGTGTTAAGTATATGGGACACACACACACACACACACATATTTACACCAAGCAATTCTCAAACACCCGCAGGGTATTGGAGAGCTCAACTCAGTTCTGATGCTAGCTGCCCTGACAAAGCATTAGATTTCCTAGATTAAGGGCTCCATCCTACAAGACTGATCTCCACCCTCCACTCCAGACTCCAGTCGCAAGCCCCAGGCAGTTTTCCTGTGCTTCTGACCTACCAGCTACAGATTGGAGGTTCCCACACCCTCTGCCTTAGTTTCCATGAATTTACTAGAGCCCCTCACAGAACTCAGGAAAACACTTAAGTTTGCCAGTTTAATAAAGGATGCAAATTAACAGCCAGATGAAGAGATACACAGGGCAAAGTCCCAAATAAAGGATCTGCTATTCTTCTGGAGCTTGGGGCCTGTCTCAGTGGCACGTGGAGGCTTTCTTGTTCCCCAAGCATAGAAGCTCTCTCCTAGTGAGAAGCAGGATCCAACCCAGCAGAGCAGAGCAGAGCAAGCAGGGCTTTTTTTTAACTCTTGTCAGGGCTTTTGTGAGGGCTTCATTACATAGTCAATCATGACTAAATTATTTACCACTGACTGATTAACCTCCAGCCCCTGCCTCAGGGTGAGGGTCCAAAAGTCTCTCATTAACATGACAAAACACCCATGTCACCTTTAAGACTCTACAGTGTTTTCTGGAACTGCAGATGACCAAATTTACCTGGGAAATACATAGTCGGATGACCGACTATGTATTTTTTAAAACTCATTATATCACAAAGGCTGTTTCACTTTTCTTATTCATGTATTCACTGGAGTACCACTTTTAATTTTCTTCAAGAACTTTTCCTTTGCCTTCACAACTTGGCTGTTTGGCACCTAGCTTTCAGCCTGTCTTGGCTTTTGACATGCCTTCATCCCTAAGCTTAATTAATTGCTAGCTTTTGATTTAACTTAAGAGACGTGCAACTCTTCCTTACACTTGAACAATTAGAGGCTATTGTAGGGTTATTAACGGGCCTAACTTAAATATTACATCTTAAGGAATAAAGAGGCCTGAGGAGAGGGAGCAAGACAGGGAAACAACCAGTCGGTTGAGCAGCCCGAACACACACAACACTTATTAAGTTCATAATCTTAATATGGGCACAGTTTGTGGTGCCCCCCCCCCCCAAATTACAATAGTAACATCAAAGATTTGATCACAGATCACCATAACAAATAGAATAATGAAAAAGTGTGAAATATTATAAGAACTACCAAAATATGACACAGAGACACAAAGTGAGCAAAGGCTGTTGGAAAAACGGTGCCAGTAGACTTGATCAACCTAGGATAGCCACAACATTCAGTTTATAAGAAATGCAATTATCTGTAAATATAATAAAATGAGGTATGCCTGTAACAGACTTAGGAAGTTCTTGATTTGTTTATTGAATAATTTTTTTAATTAGGTTCATGTCAAAATGTAAAAAAGTTTATAGTTTTATAACTTAACAAATTTAATTAGCTTCATTTTTAGGACATTATATAATTTATAGTGTCAAACATTGTTACTGATTTTGAATTTGTAAGATAAATGTAATGTTTATGAAGTATCTGGGATAGTCAGTTCTCATATACCATAATTATTATTAAGAGGAAATCATAATTTTAGCCTAGCTAAAATACTTAATTGAAAATAATACACTTTCTCAATTTCTTAGATTTCATTAAGAGGTTACCTTTGATGATTACAGAGCACAAAATATTAAGAAAATTAATACTTTATTAAAGTAAATCTATTTAAAATTTTTTTAAGTAAAAAAAATTATTTATTTTCTTTTTTGTCATTTATTCTCTCTGACTTAATACTAAGCTTTCTAGAGATACCGGTTTTTCATTTTTCTGTGAACTATGGTGAAACATACCTACATTAGAAAAGAATTTGGAGGGGATAAAGTATATACAGTTAAGATATCTTCTTAGCTTAATGTCCTATAATAGCTTGGAGCGTGGTTAAAGTAATGAGCAATTTATATTGACCAAGATAGTGTGATGGTTAAAACTTAGGAGCTAGTCTTCTTAATGTCCTATAATAGCTTGGAGCGTGGTTAAAGTAATGAGCAATTTATATTGACCAAGATAGTGTGATGGTTAAAACTTAGGAGCTAGTCTTTCTGGGGTCAGATCCAAAATCTGTCTCATAGTTGTGTGATCTTGGGCAAATTACATTCTTTACCTCTGTGCTTCATCTCTAAAGTGGGAAGGATGATTGTACCCGTCTCATAGGATTGTGTTAGAGAGTAAATGAACATAGAGCTGCAAATCATTTAGAGATGCTATTCATTCAGCTGCAAAAAAAAAAAAAATCATTATTAGAACAGTGCCTGGCACAGTTAGTACTCAGTAAGTTAGCATTTGACTACAAGTAGAAAAAAACCAATTCACACTGGCTCAAGCTAAAATGGAAATTTTTTAGTTTCTGTACAGAAAAGTCTAGGAAGGATGGAGCTTCAAGCATGCAAGCATGTTTAGATCTAGGTACTCAAACGGTATTGCCAGGAATCTGGCTTGGTTCCACTTTCCTTTTTGTAGGCTTCATTCTCAGACAGCTTCCCTTTTTATGGTGAAAAACGGCCACCAGCTGTACCAGACTTACCTATGCCCAACACTGAGTTTAGCAAGCCCATTGCAACAAGTATCTCTTCCTTAAGATTTCCAGTAAAAGTCCCAGAATTATGTCTCATTGGCTAGACTTGGGTCACGTAGTTATTCCTCATTCAGTCAACATAGCTGGCTAGATTTGGGTTCTCTGCCCGCCTCTGTGTAGGGGGATAAGCTCTAATTGAACCACCTGGCTAAGAGTAAGCGAGAAATGGTTCCCCAAAGGCAAATTGAGGTTCTGTTTCCAGATAAAGGGGCATTGCATTCTGGGCAAGCAAGTCAAACACTTCTTCTTCTGGACAAATTAGGTTTACTTGAGAGTTTGTTGGTTGGGGTGCTTTGTTTATGTTTGTGTGTTCCACATCAATTCCTTTTTGGTTCCCAGACCCGATTCCAGTGTGTGTAGGGGGAGCAGGTTGGGGGTGGGCGGTCTTCCCACGGAGGACACCAAGAGGTTCTCAAACACCAGCAGGTGTTTCTGATGCTGTCTGCCCAGGGGCAGAACCAAATTCCGCAGGTGAAAGGCTGCATCCCACAAGAGTGCCCTCCACCCTCCACTATAGACTCAAGTTGCAAGCCCCAGGCTGTTACCTGTGCTTCTGACCAATCAGACACAGATTGGAGGTTCCAGTGATCTCCCCCTTAGGTTTTATAAATTTGCTAGAGTATCTCACAGAACCCAGGAAAACACTTACATTTACCAAAAAAGATACAAGTTAATAGCCAGACCAAGATGTTGTCAGGCAGCTGCATCTGGGTAGGTCTCTCCCTGTGCAGTAGGTGAAACCTCAACCTGGGCTGGGGAGGGTTCTTGAATGAATGAGAAAGAACTCTCAGTAGGTCAGGTGAGATAGGTAAGGAAGGGAGTAGCAGGGAATGGCAGCTGCCTTTCAGGCAGCAGAGAGTAAAGAAGATCATAAAGAGGAAAGGGAAGCTCATTGAACACCTGCTTCTTTGCATAGGGCAAATCCCTTGCCAGCTCTTAAAGCCAGGAGAGAAAGAGCATGACGACCAGCTGCAGTCCTGTCTGGGTCACCCAGGCGAAAGGAATTGCAAAAGCCCAAATCAGAGATCTCAGGAGCCCTTCCCTACTTATCCGGATTAGGGCAGAGAGTGAAGACTTGTGCTTAAGTCTAGAAAATAGAATGAAATAGCAAAGTAACAAAGACACCATTGGATGAGCGCAGACAAAACGCAGTAATTTGAGCAGAAAGGTCTTTAAGGCAAAAAGTACATGCTCCAGGAAAGGCGATTGTGGGCAACTTCAGAGATAAGGTACTTATAAGGGTTTAGGATTCTGTCCTTTAAAGCTTTCAAGAATGGGGCAAAAGGACAGGGGAGGAGGGGACAATGTAGGCTTGACTTGTGGTCTCATGATGTCTCTGTCCAGTGAGAGATATTATGTCGCCGTCCACTAGTCCTCTAGATATTCTGTAAGATAAACTTAACACAAGGAATGTATTGATCCTGTTCTCCAAGATAGTGGTTACCCTCAAGCGCTGGGAACATATCAGGACTGCTTGCCCTGCCTTAAGATAGATTGTTGGCTGATTACCCAAGAATATGTTAGGAATCTTACCTCCTAACTCTGTTTTGTTTTGTTTTGTTAATGGAATCTTAGCCTTAAGATGGAGTTCCTCCTGTTCTTACTATATTGTGTATATCTTGGCATTTTTCATCATAGGCAGGAAAAGTCAATCATGATGCTTTTTGCATGCACCTGCCCTACCTCAGATACATAGAGCAAGGTTCTAAATAAAGGAGCTTCTAACCTCGTGGAGCCTGTGGCCTGGCTTGGTGGCACATGGAAGCTTTCTGGCACAGAAACACTCTGACAGAGAAGCAGGTGCAAAAAAAAAAAAAATGAGAGAGAAATGCTCTTCTCGTGGGTTTTTATGAGGGCTTCATTGCATAATCACGTTTGACTAAATCACTGACCACACGCTGATTCAACCTGCAGCCACCACCCTTGGGTGGGGGTCTAAAAGTCTCTCTTTAACTTAACAAGACACCCATTCATCTTTAAGGCTCTGAAGTGTTTTCAGGAGCTGTGGACAAAGACCAAATATTCCTAAGAAATATAGTTGTGGTCATCTGAATGACCAAACGTATATTTCTTGTAACTCATTATATTGCAGTTCAGGTCTCAGACCCCCTTCTTTCCTTGTAGAAACTATGCTAATTTCATGACTTTTGTTATCAACTCAGATGGTATCACCTTGAGTTCTCTTTTCCTAAGTAAGTTAATTTTTTTCCTTCCTGCTCTGTGGCCTGTAATGTAGAAATAGATTCTTAGATATTCTTATCTCAAGTTGTTTTTCAATTTTAGTTCTACTATCTTGATACCTCTTTTCCTATTTTCAGTCATGAGTATTTCTTCCAGTTTTATCTGTGCTCTCCCCACACCTTTAGAGCTTATAGCAGCCAACCTAACAGCAGATTGGCCAATTCACTCTCTTAAGACATGTCTTGGGGATATACTATTCATATTTTACATGCAAAATTACATTAAACTCTGTGACTCAGCCTTCTTATCTTGGAGGCTCAAAACACAATCACTTTTGGGGGACAGAAATTATTTTGTGATGAGGTATATATCTTATTTTCTGACAGCTCATCTGGTCTGAGAGATAAGACACTAACTTTAAGAGCGATAGTGAATTTTCCATTGCTAAAAGTGCTTTTAAATATAAGATATTCAGATAGGATCCAAGCAAGTGGGATGGACTAGTTGAACTTTAAGACATCTTTTAATCATAAAGTTCTGATTCTGACACTTTTATATGCTTATTTTATAGGAGCAGTATATTATATAATTTCTAGTTTATTAATCTACTTTGTGAAAGGATTATATTCTTAAAATTATTTTTAAGGGCCTAATAGCCTCTGATTAACTGGAAAGTTAATACATGCATAATAACTCAAAATCTCAGTTCTGTTATATCTCAGAATTATTTAAAAATCTGATAGGTCAGTGGTGTACAGAATAATGTCATTATATATCAACATAATTTATGTATTTATCATTTTATCTAATGAAACTGAAGTATCAGGGTACAACTGTTTTGAAAATAACTTATTTTCTTGAAAGAGCCTTTTATGTACAGCAGAATTGTTATCTGCTATATCATATTGCTGGTTAGAAATAGCAAATAAAATTTTAATTGATTCTGGTAGTTATAGCAAAGATGAGTTTATTATTTTTTTAAATGTTTTTGTCTTTGTGAAAGTTGTGCTTCATTTATCTTAATTCATGTTTTTTTGTTAAAAGTCAGAGCAACTTCTGTTCTTCCCAAATATGGTCCACATTGCCTATTTAAAGGACACTTGAGCACCAAAAGTAATGGTAAGTGAGGTATTACAGTGGTAAAAAAAAAAATCATTAGAAGATTGACTACGTGTCTCTTTCCTCTATTTGTATATTATAGGACATGATGGAAAAACTTCATTTAATCAATATTTGAGCTTCATATTTTTTATAATATGTTATAATTAACTATTATGGAAATTCCTGAGAAAATCTTGAGACTGGAGAATGTAAGAGTCCATTTCAAACCGGAGGAAGACCTGGCTTCCTCTGCTCCCTGCTGCAGCTCCAGCCCAGCTCTTTGCTGGCTGACTACACTGGCTGAAGGCATGCCTTCCTTGTTAAAATGGCAATTAGGAGGCTCTTAAGGACAGGGCGCTGAAAAGGAAAAGCTGTTCAGAGAAAAAGAGCGCTGAAAACATGCATTATGTGTCAGGAGCAAAAACTTACAGGCCTCCTGATCCAACTGGATTTCTAAATCTTATGAAGGGAAATCTGTATTTTCTGCAGTGTTTCACATTTTTAAAAAATTGTTAATGTGAACTTTAAATACACTTTTATATTTATAGCTTAAAAATTTTGTTTTTAAACAAAATAATTCAGTCTTTTTTCCTTATTTACATGAAAAATCTTTGATAGTGCCTCAGAAATATGAAAGATCATATTTTCTGTTAATTCACTTTTAGTAAAGTATATACATAGAGTCAGTATCATAGACTTTTTTTTTGAGAAATTTTAAGTAAAAAATTAAAAGTGGATTTAAAATATACATACATAAAAAAAGCAGGAGAAAGAACAATATGTAATTTGCTCACTTTTTTTAAAGAATGTGTTTGCAGAGTTCATATAGGCGCAGTGTTTCTAAGTATGAAGCTGCTGGTTCATGTCTGAATTGCATCCTATAAGCTGTGTGACCTTGAAGATCTTACTCACATCTTGGTGCTCCTGTTTCTATGAAAAGTTGATACTAATGACTAAATGAGTTTTACATGCAAAGAGTTTAGAGCGATGCATGCATGGTATCTATTTCAGTAAGTGTTTGTTGCAGTAATAAGTAGTAGTGTCAAGCTTATTGTTATTTACATGCTTATATTATGCATAGAACTTTCCTGGAAGGATTCATCAAAATAGTAGCAAAGTATACTGGGAGGTAAGACTAGAAATCAGGGCTGGAAATTCATTGGTTTTTTCAATCTGTATATTCCATTTTAGCTGTGTATTACATCTCGAAAACTTCTTAATGTCTGTAAAGTTATGCCTACAATTATGTTTTATACACTTATACTTGTATATAAATGCTTAATTGTTTCTAAGATTTCTTTTAAACAGTTTTGATGAGGTCAAGAAGTTTAATGTCATGGAACATCTACTTGATTTGTACTGGTCTTAGGCAAGGCCTACAACTTTAAGAAGAATGCAGTAAACTGATTTGCGGACCTATTTTCAGCTGTAAAATCAGAAGTTTTCCTTTCAGAATGGAATCTTTGCATAGAGTTTTGGAATTGGGGATTTGTTTGATTTCCCAAACTGCATGTATTCAACTACTAACAATGCTAACATTATTTTATAATCAGGCAGATGGCTGAACATTTTTAGTTATGAGATTAAGGCTGTTGATAAGAAATAGTTTTGTAAGTGCAGTGATGGATTTTATTCTAGAATCTCTTCCTGAAACTCTCAGGCTTGTAAAAATTATTCTCAGAAAGGTTTGAACCCAAAAAGTCAATGATTCATCAGTTATCAGTGCAAGATTAAGGCCAGGAGATACTCAGTCTCACAGATAATAATAATGTCAGCATCTCATGGTTAAATTTCAGAACATTTTATCAAAATGAGCTTAATAATCAGTAACTTGTTCTTCTGATGATGATTTTTATATTAGTTTTAAATATATAATGATTAAATATGTTTTAATTTTTAGCTTTTTGCACTGACTCCTCCTCTCTCAGACTAAGTACTCTCCATCTGGTCAAGAATCACATGGCTGTTCACTATAATAAAATCCTTTCAGCCAAAGGTAAAAATGTGCAAATGTGAACTTTCTGTACCCAATTTAAGTCTTCAATTTCACTTCTAATTAGAGTGAATCTGTAGCAAAAATGAACACATTATACAGTTGACCCTTGAACAATGCAGGCATTAGGGGCACTGACCCCCATGCAGTTGAAAATCCACATATAACTTTTGACTCCCCCCATATTTAATCACTAATAACCTGTGGACCAGGAACCCTGGTAACATAAACAGTCAATTTACTGTTATTTTGTATGTTATATGCATAGTATACCATATTCTTACAAAAAAGCAAGCTAGAGAAAAGAAATTCTTTTTTCAAATTGTCTCAAATCTCATTTTCCAGTATATTTATTGAAAAACATCCCTGTATAAGTGGACCTGCACAGTTCAAACTGGTGTTCAATGGTCAACTGTATCTGAATGGGTTTGTGTTCAGTGTAGTGAGATACTAACTACTAACTAACTCTATATATACATAAAAAATACAGAATGCCATTTTTATTAACTATACTTGAAGTGTCTATAATGCCTGTGTTATTTCATTTTATCCATGTTATCCCAAATATATTTTTGTGGTTAAATAATCTTAATGCAATAAAAGTTTATAATCTGCTTTTTGGTTTTCAAATCTAGTTTAAAAAGTTACACAAAGAAGATGCTTACTACTATTTTATTATTTTTTGCCAGCTTTAATGAGATATAACTTAAATAAAATAAAATGCACTAATTTTAAGTGTACAGTTAAATATTTTGAAAAATATATACTTTTGTATAACCACCACCACAATCATGCTGTCACACAGGAATTCGCTAACTATAGCTCAAAAGCCAAATCCTCCTACCACCTATTTTTGTTCCGCTTGTGAACTAAGAATGATATTTATATTTTCAAGTGGTTGGAAAAAATCTAAAGAACAATATTTTGTGACATGTGAAAGTCATATGAAATTTGAATTTCACTGTCCATAAATATAGTCACATTCATTCTTTTACATACATCTATGGTGGCTTTTGCACTAAGAAGCAAAGTTGACCAGTTGTGACAGAGGCCATTTCACTTTGCAAGGCCTGAAGAATTTACTATGTGTATATTCACAGCAGAAGTTCACTGACCTCTGATGGAGAATTTTCCATCACTCCCCATAGTGCTTCACAAGTAGTGTCTTTCCCCCACTTCCTGGCAACTGCTGATCTGCTTTGTGTCACTCTAGTTTTGCCTTTTCTAGTATTTCATATAAATGGAATCATTCAGTATGTATTGTTCTGAGTCTGGCTTCTTTCAGTTAGCTAATGCTTTGAGACTAACCCATGCCGTTTTGTGTATCAGTGTTTCTTCCTTGTTGTTGCTAAGTAGTATTCCATTTAATGAATATACCACCGTTGTTTTCAGTTCACCAGTTGGTGGACATTTGGCTTGTTTTGACTCACTTTTGGCCATTAGGAATAAAGCTGCTATAGTCACATACAGTCTTTGAACTTATGCTTCCATTTCACTTGGATAAATTTATTTACTAGGAGTGGCATTGTGGGGCAATATGGTAAATGTATGTTTAACTTTATAAGAACTGCCAACCTGTTTCCCAGAGTAGCTACCATTTTGCATTTCCATCACTTCCAAATCCCTACCAACACTTCCTTTTGGCGGTCCTTTTTCAGCCACTAGTGGGCGTACAGTATCTCATCAGGGTTTTCGTTTGGGTTTCCCTAATGCCTAATGATGTTGAGGAACTTTTCTTGTGCTTCTTTGCCATCTATATATCTTCTTTAGTGAAATATCTATTCAAGCCTTTTGCCCATTTTTTTAAGTGGGTTGTTTGTCTTTTCAGTATTAAGTTGTGAGACTTCTTTATTTATTAAATACAGGTCCTATTGTATCGGATGCATGTTTTGAAAACACTTTCTCCCAATCTGTGACTTTCCTTTTCATTTTCTTTTTAAAATTTTTATTATGAAATAATTTTAGAAAAGTCACAAAAATAGTACAGAGTATCACAGAAGTCCTTTATCCAGCTTTCCCTAAAGTTAAAATCTTACATAACCATAGTACAATTATTAAAACCAAAAACAAATATTGAATACAATACTATTAACTGCATACCTTATTGAATTTCACCAGGTTTTCACTAATGTCTCTTTAAATTATTTTTATTTTCTCACTAAAAAGCTAACAGTTTTAAAATGTTCATATTCATATTTTATGAAGTTTATATTTTAAATAATTGGAAAATCTAAAGAAAAATAATATTTTGTGACATGTGAAATTAAGTTCAACTTTTCAATTTTTAATAGTTTATGCTTTTCATATCCTGTGTAAGAAATCTGCCTAAACTTAGGTCACTAAGATTTTCTTACATTATTTTCTTCTAGAAGTATAAGTTTTAGCTCCTACATTTAAGTTTGGGACCCATTTTGTGTTGGTTTTTGTATATGGTATAATGTAAGGATCAATTTTTTGCCTGTGGGATATCCATATATTCCCAGGACTATTTGTTGAAGAGATAGTCCTTTCCCTTTTGATTACCTTGACTCTTTTTGAAAGACTGTTAACCATATGCAAGGGTCTGTTTCTGGACTTATTCTTTGGTTCTATTGATCTATAGTCTTTATTACAATAATGTATGTACTGCCGTAATTACTATAGTATTATAGTAAGTCTTGAAATCAGATGTAGGTCCTCCAATTCTGCTCTTTATTTTCAAGCTTGTTTCGGGACTCCAGTTACAAGTATGTTAAGTGCATGATACAGATAGTTAAGGGATACTCCATCCTGTTATTTTCCGATCTTTCTTTCCTGTTTTATTTTAAGTAGTTTTTCTTGCTATGTTTTCATGTTCACTAATATTTCCTTCTGCAATATATAATGAGCTGTTAATCCCAACCAGAGTATTTTTTTTATCAAGGATATTATGTTTTTTCTCTCTAGAAGCACCAGAAAAATCAAACCAAGGATTTGCAGGTTCTGGAAATTTTTGTGATTTCCACATTTGATATTTGTTGTCATTTATAAATGTTAAGAATATTATTAAATACTTTACTTTTCTCTGTCAGCTGCAGTGGACTGCTCAGTTCCATTGAGCATGAGTACCAGCATCAAATGTAAGTGATTTTTGACATACTGCCTTTTTAAGAAAATTATGGTTAAACTACATATATCATTAAATTTACCATCTTAGCTATTTTTAAATCTACGGTTCAGTGGCATTACTTATATTCATATGGTCATGCAACCATCACTACTATCCATCTCCAGAACTCTTCTCAACTTTCAAGACTGAAAAACTCTGCACCCATTAACCAATAATTCCTCCACTCACCCTGGCAACCCCCATTCTACTTTCTGTCTCTGTGAATTTGACTTTGACTGCTCTAGGGACCTCATGTAAGTGGATTCCTCTAGTGTTTTTCCTTTTGTGACTAGCTTACTTCACTCAGTAGAATGTCCTCAGGGTTCATCCATGTTGTAGCCTGTGTCAGAATCTCTTTCCTTTTTAAGGCTGAGTAATATTCCATTGTATGTCTATAGCAGCTGCATCATTTTGTTTCTGCGTCCATAAATCAGTGGATACTTGTATTGTTTCCACCTTTTGGCTGATGTGAATAATCCTTCCATGTACCTGTATGTACTAATATCTCTGAGACCCTGCTTTCATTTTCTTAGGTATATACCCAGAAGTAGATTTGCTGTATCATATAATTCTATTTAACTTTTTGAGAAACCACCATACTGTTTTCTACAGCAGCTGCGTCATTTTACATCCCCCTCAAAAGAGTGTGTGGGTTCCAATTTCTCTACATCCTCCCCAACACTTGTTATTTCTGGTTTTTTGATAGTGGCCACCCTAAAGGGTGTTGATGTATTGTCTTTTGAGGAAGAATTTCTAACTGTTAAAAATTATCCATAAATAAAAGAAACTTGGATTGTCTTTCTAAATTTAGGAACTTAGAATTGAGCCCAGGCTTTGCCACTAAATTGCCGTGTGACAATTTAGTAACTTCTCTGGATGAATTATTTGACTTCTCTGTATTAAATTTTGTCTGTATATAAAAATTTGGGTAGTACTAAAAGGCTTGCCAAGAGTTCAGTTCCAAAATTCTGAGATTCTCACTGCCCTTGGCTTGTTGATTACCAGTGATTTCATTAGAAATACTACCCCTGGCCCTTTTCTCCAGATAAATATTTTCTGTTTGTACCCTAATAATCTAACTGATAAACTTGGTAGTTATATGTATCTGAAAAGCCATATTGACATGATATTATAAGATTATGATATATTTACCCTTTGACCAAATATTTCTATTTTTAGAAGTGTTTACTAAGGAAATAATCAGACCAGAACATTTGAAATTCCTATTTTAAAATGTTATGAAAGTTACCATTTGAGACCATTTGAGTTCAAGTAATGTGTACTTTAAAATAGCCAAAGAATATATAGCCTGTCCTTGTCTTATTAGTAATCATATAAAAATCAAAGTGTAAGTTTTAAGTTTAGTGTTTTTCTTAACTGCTATTTGAGTTTGTTATTTATAGTTTAATTGGGAGAGGATTTCTACATTAGAAAGTAGGTATCAACCTAAGGAAGTGCATGCTGAATAGTGAGTAAATGAGAGCGTAGATAGGTGAATGCCCCTTAGGTGCAATCTGGGAAAGATCACAGCCAGCAGGACCCGTCTCTTATGTATCTTCTTAATGGAACAGAAAGGACTTAAGCCGAGCCAATAGCCACCAGCTGCCATTCAGTGAGCACACTGTCTTGGTCCGGCCCTGTGCGTGGCACCCTGTATTCTCCCTGCTCTGTTCCCTAGGTAGGCTCTCATGTCTCTGAAGGCATTTGGGGAATCATATAATTTTATAGGAGGGAAAAGGGCATTTCAGGCAAGAGTGTGAATCTTATCTTTTTAAAGACCATTTTGACCATAGTACACAACTTATATGGGCAAGTCATTTGACTTTTCTTACCCTCCTTTCTTTTTTTTGTAAGATGAAAGGTAAGTATATAATTTCTAAGGACCCTTCCAGATTTTTAATTTCTATGCTTTATATTTTTTTATTCTGTTTCATATTAGTAAGTTTTTAATAGCACAAGAAACTTGTTCAATATTTACAGGTTTTAAAAATTTGAATCATTTAAATTAAGATGGCTTTACCCAGTTATCATTAGATCAGATACTCTCCTTAAGTGGATTGCTTCTAAATGGGAAAATTTCACTAAATTTTCATACTGACATACTGATATATCATACTTATATTCCTGAAAAATAGATATATAAAATAAGATTATTTTATTTAGGTTGTATAATAAAAACAGTATATGTATTAATCCTCTTACTGAACCAAACTCTTGGATTTAAAATCCAAAGTCACCAATTTAACATAATCAAGCATTTTGCATAATTTCATTTAGCTCACTGGAATGTATTCCTTGATTAATTTGGCAAATATTTATTGAGCATCTACTATATGCTAAATACTGTTCTAAGGGCTGGAGCTAAAGAGGTCAACAAAATGAAGAACATGCTTTTATAGAGCTTACATTCTAGTTGAAGGAGACAAACAATAATTAAATAAAAAGAAATCAGTAAATATAAAATATTTCAGATGGCAATAGAAAAAACTGAAGCAGTATAAGGGAGATTGGAAGTCCCTTGGAGAAGGCATCGCTGATAAGGCAGGCAGAGACGTGCCAGAAGCAGGGAGAGGCAAATGGGTAAATGAGGGAAGAGCAATCATGACCGAGGAAATGGCAAGTACAAATGCCTTGAAATGGCATTGTGATCAGTGTATTCAGGGAATGGCAGGAAGAGCCATATATCTGGTGAAATAAGGCAGCTAAAGAGTGATAGATGAGGTCATTGAAATGGGACAGAGAGATACAGAACGTGTAAGGCCATGGCCATTGCTAGCACTTTGGTTTTCATTCTGAATGAAATTGGAAGCCATTGGAGGGTGTTCAGTAGAGAAGTAACTAAGCCAGTTTAACTTTTGAAAGCATCTCTCTGGCTACTGAGTTGAGAATAGTCTAAGTGACAATGGTAGAAGCAGAGGGACTACTTAGGAGACAGACAGGAATGCAAATGAATAATGGTGGTGACTTGGACCAAAATGACTGCAGTAGAGGGAGTGTGAAATGGCTGGATTCTGGAAACATTTCAAAAAAGTGTCAAGAGTATTTACTGATGGATTAGATGTAGGTAGGGAATGAGAGAAAAAGAGGAGTAAGTCAAGGATGACTGTAGCACGTACAGCCTGTCAACCAAAAGAACAGAATTATAATTTGCTGAAGTGAGGAATATAATAGGAAAAGATCTGGGGTGGGACTAGGGGGAATGAATCAACGAGTTCAATCTTGGTCACATTCCAGTTAGAATATGAGTCTGGAGTTCAGGAGACATTTCCAAGGTGGAAATAAAAATTGGGGAGTTGACAGCATATATGTTGTATTTAAAGAATTGATCCTATTCTTTGTTTTTAGAATTCAGACTTAGCTAGTGCTTATTTATCCCATAATATTTCTGCTTTCAGTCAATTGAGAAAGGAGCTTTTCTTTTTTGCCATGTAAATGGAGAAAATTGTAATGGCTAGAAGAATTGTAAAGGTTATGATCAAACTAAAGTGTAATTACTAATCATTATTCTTGTGTTATAGAGCTGATGTTCATTATAATCAATATAACTTAGAAATATTATATAGATATTAAAAAAAGAAATCTCTGGGTTAGAATCATCTGTTTTTATAAGATACACTGTTCTGAAACTGATGTGATAATTTCAGTCTTTATAGTATCTAAAGTAGAACATCTCTACATAGTTTGTTGAATTATTTAAATAATTCCATATTCTAGTGCATTAGAAAGGCTTTACTTTTTACAGCAGTTTTATTGACCAATAATTTACATACCATAAGATTCACTGATTTTTAAAGTTTAAAAAGTGTGCAAATATCACCATAAACCAATTTTAGAACATTTTCATCATCCAGAAAAGTCTCTTGTGCCCATTTGTAGCTGCTCCCCATTCCGATCCCTGGACTCAGGCAACACTAGCCTACTTTCTTTCTCTATAGATTTGCCTTTTCTGGACATTTCATGTAATTTAAATCACTATGTGGTTTTTTGCATTAGACTTTTCACTTAGCATAATGTTTTTTGAAACTAATCTATTTCATAGCCTGTATCATTATTTCATTCCTTTTATTGCTAAATATTATTCTGTTGAATAGATAATTCCACACTTTGTTCATCAATGGATGAATATTTGTTTCTGTTTGTCTATTATGAATAGTGCTGCTATGAACATTAGTTCAGAAGTCTTCGGTGGACATAAATTTTCATTTTTCTCTTGGGTACTGGTCCAAGTCCTGAGTTCTTAAGTATGCCCTTGCTGGGTTATATGGTAAAATTATATTTAACATTTTAAGAAATTGCCAAACTGTTTTCCAAAGTGGCTGTACTATTTTACATTCCCATGTCCAACATAATAGGATTTCAGTTATCCCATATCCTTGGTAGTACTTGTTACTGACTTTCTTTTTGATTATATAGCCATTCTAGTGGGTATGAAGTGGTATCTCATTGTGGCTTTAATTTGCATTTCCCTCATAACTGATGATGTATAGCATTTTTTTCATATGCTTATTGGCTATCATGATCTTTGGCATGTATCTATTCAGATATTCTGTCCATTTTTTAATTGGGTTATTTGTCTTCTTATTAATGACTTGTATGTTATTTAAATATTTTGGATACAAGTCCTTTATTAGATATATGATTTGCAAGTATTTTTTCCTCCTCTGTGGCTAGCCTTTTTATTTTCTTAAGGGTGTTTCTTTTGAAAAGGTGTGAAAGTTTTACATTTAGATTGTCTAACATCTTTTTTTTTTTAATGGCTGTGTTTGGTGCTGTATCTGAGAAATCTTGGCTGTACCCAGAGTCCTAGAGATTTACTCCTATGGTTTCTTTTAAGAGTTTTATACTTGAAGCTCTTACGTTTAGGTCTGTGATCTATTTAAAGTTGATTTTTATATATAGTGTGAGGAGGCTTTTCTTACGAGAATAGGTTGGACAGATTTGTTAATACAGAGTATTTAATAACATAGTGTCTGAAGACACAGTCATATTTTCTACTCAGTTGTTTTACTGTAAGTAATATAATCAATCTGAGAAAATTCTATTTCATTCACTCCACAAAGATCATCTGCTATAATTTAGTTAACACATTCATTAAGCAACTATTTGAGGAGAGAATAAGCTGAAAGTAATATTTCAGTCTACATTTTAAATAATACATTTACTTTAGCATGCTTATTACTTTTCTTAATAATTACAGTTGAAACTTTAAATCTGTATATAAATTACTTTAGTTTGTGTTTAAAGCTTATAGAAATTTTTATAAATTCTGATTCAAAGCAGAGTGATTTGAAACTTGGAAATTATCTTGTCCATTAAATTTGGATAAATTTCAATAAAAAAGTATATGTTTTTAATTTTATATGAACATGTGAGTCATTTTACTTGTAGCCAACCTTCTATTTAACATTTGACCAGTTTTCATGTCATCATTTGCAGTCTGTATACAATAAGTCTTTGATAATAGCCCGGTACCTGACTTAAAGCATACTAAAGTGTGAAATCAATTTTCATTTATATTTTAAACAAATAGCAGTTAAGAGAAATAGAGTCAGTTATCCTGATTGGAAATAATGTTTTAAATTTAATGCTATCTTATAAAAGTCACATAAAACAAATTCTTATGCTATGTGATGGTATTGACAATATTTTCGGGGACAGTCTCTGAACTAATTCAGACTGCATTCGGTGATTACAGAGTAACCGTGGTCAAGCATTTATTTCTAATACTGATATCTCTATGAGTATCTTCTAGGAATTACTTCCTTGAGCCCTTAAGCTTAGCCAGTTTGTCACATCTTGTTATGGACTTTAAATAGTCAATCCATTTTAAGTTTCTGTAAATTAAATATTTGTTAACTTCTCTTTATGCAGAAATGTATATGAATTTTTTTTGACTTGCCAATAGTTTGAACAATTTAGCAAGGAAAAAACTATACTATTAGTATTGATTTTTGTTTTGTTCTATATTATAAAAGATTTGTTTGCCCCTTCAGATGCAGACCAACAACGAAGAGAGAAACTCAAAAAGGAATTAGCACAATGTGAAAAGGAGTTGAAATTAAATAAAACTGCAGGGCCATCCAATTCTAAAAATAATCCCAAGTCATTACTTAACACTCTACAAAAGGTAAGATAGTATTTTTATCTGTTAAAAGCAGATGTGTCTAAGGTATTTCATTAGTGGTACAGCCTAACTTTGTAGTAACATGGCTACTATAAATCAGTAGTAAACTTTTCCTGTGAAGAGCCAGATAGTAAATAAATCAGCCTTTTCAGTCACACAGTCTTGTCATAGCCCTTGTGCCACTGGAAAGCAGCCTTAGACAATACTTAAATGAATGGGCATGAGATCGGATGATCTAAAACCCTTTCCTTCAATAGCCCATACTCTCAGGCTGCTCTTTTACTCACGTGCTCTTACCTCAGGGCCTTCAGTGCCTTCGTTCTGCACCCTGTACACCCCCACATGGTTATTCACCACTTACTCCCATCACGGTACAGTACTTACTAAGAGCTATGAAGATTAAGTGAATACATGGATGTGGTCTATATTTCTAAATAGACCTATGAAATACTTTTAAAGCAATATAAAACAATAAACATCAAGAGCTTTCAGTTTCTTTTATAACATAAGTTAAAACGTTTTTGTAAAACAAATGTTAACCAAATTTTTCAATAATTTGTACCCATCCTATTCTGCAATTAAATTGATTCCTCAACTGTTTCAAAAACTGACAACTGAAAAGATCTTTGTATTCTATTTCTTCTGATATTAACCCTGAAAAAGATTTAGTATGCAATTGGTCCATGATTATAAAATTGGATAGATGCTCTTAACATATAAACATTATGAATGTATAAACTATATAATGATTATAATTTTCCACAAATTCCTGAATCACATAAACAGTTTATAAAAAAAACTGCATTGAAGTAGAAGGATGACATAAGAAAGTGGTCAAATTACCACCAGAATTTTTGTTCCTTTGACGTATAGTTAATGAACCCTTTTCTGATTTTAGATCTTTATACTAATCTACTATTCAAATTTTGGTGAATTTACCAGTGTGTTACATATTTTCTGGGAAAATTATATCCTAGCTTTTTATGTTCATAGCAAAAGGATACAATTATGTAATGTCAAACAAGCAGTTCAGCATAGTTGATTCCATGCTATCTTCTCCTGGTTTCCAAGGAAAGAAAAAGGAGGGCAAAGGAGGGATTATGAGACATAAAAATACAGAAAATTTCCATGCCTTCAGTCAGTTCAAAAGCAGTGTAGCCAGCCAATTTCAGACAGATGGGAGTATGTTTCTGCCTTTAAAGACTTTCTTTGGCTTTTAATTTTATTAAATAACCATTACTGAGAAGAATTTTCTTACAGGCAGTCTAATGCTTTATTTATGTCTGCTTGCTCTGATTCCCATATGTACTGTTCCTCTAAATGTAAATATAATTCCTGTAATTATTACTTAATAGCCGTATAGGATTTTTTAGATAATATTTAGAAATTTCTTCCCAGAGAGACACTCTTCTGGTATATGAGCTGCAGTTTGGGTCCACTTTGGGAGCACTTTTTAAAACTAACATGCATATTGAAGTCATTAACCAATCAGTACTGTAATGAACTAAAATTTTATGCCAAAATAATTACTTGCTTTGAGTAATTTTGCCATGTATTTGGGGTAGGGTTAAGGAAAGGAAATAGGTGACCTGATGTATATTAGGCAATAATCACAATATCCAGGTATCTGTCTTCCTTAGATAAATTAGTACATAGGTTAGCTGACAGCTCACTACCAGAAAAGAGTTAAAATCAGTTTAAAATACCTGGTAGCATAAAAAGTTCAAAATACACAATTTTCAAGTGCATCTTTAAAATAGATAATGTAATGGTAAAGAGCATAGGCCCAGCCTGGGTTCAAATCTGTAAGACCCTGCACCTCAGTTTCTTCATCTACAAAATAGAGGTAATAATTAAAACACCATCCAGAAGCCAATGTGAGGATTAAATGAGTAGTATGTGTAAATTAATTAGCACGCTACCTGGCACATAAGACTACACATATTAGTAGCAATGATAGAAGTTCTTCTTCTTTTATCTGCTCAATGGCAAGAACAGTACCTTACACATAGGAAGCACTTGGCTTCTCCCTCCTCAGCTTGTGCACCTTCCTCCGGGTTTCTCCCCGTGAGCTTTCAGAACAGATGTATGGCTAAATCCTAGCCATTTGCACCTCAGCTTCTGTAACTCCCCCCCACCTAATGAAGTGCCTCAGAGTTCTGTAAGGAATACACAGGTGTCCATAAAGTCTGAAATCATAGACAAGGCTTCTCAGGAATCTAATATGTAAAAAATAAAATACTTATATTTTTAGACTTTACAGATGCCCTGTAGAAATGGTTTTTCCAGTTAAAGTAATGGAGCAGTCCCTCCAGCACAGAGAATACAGTCAGTGATTCTGTAACATCTTTCTGTGTTAATAGATAACGACCACACTAGAGGGGGTGAGGTTTTAATAACATAGGTAACTGTTGAACCACTGTATTTGAAACCAATATAAGATTGTATATCAATGACACTTAAGTTAAAAAAAAAAAAAGAGACAGCAATCCAAAAACACCTTCCCTTTCAAAGCTTTCCCTACTCCTAAGGAGAAGTTCCTTTCATTTCATCAAAGCCTTGAAGGCGCAGGGGAACTGCTGTCACTGAGAACTGCCGTAATGACAAGATGGGGGCTAGGGGGCGGATGCTGCCACCAGGGGTGGCTGAGAAGGGGATTAGTGCTACTATGGGTTTGGAAACTTTCAGGTAAAACTGAGATCTGCCAGTAGACCTCGGGACACAAGTTCAAGGCCAAAAAAAAGATGTATGTTATTAATTGTTTTTTTTAGTTTTAGAAAGAAAAATTATTGCTATTATTTATATTTAGAATTTCATTTGTATATATTAATAATTCAAAACGAATAGAACTTTGTATAAATGCTAACACCCTCAGGAACAAGTTAATTTTGTAGACTCCTGAGGCAACCATTTCTGAATGTATAACCTGGAGATCCCCAATTATAAGAATCTGTCCATGTAATTGATGATATCAAACCAAATGTCTTCAGCCTTCAGGAGAACCACCACATGAAGATGATATGTTAATTGAAGAAGCGAATGGATTTCTGTCCTTTACAAGGTCACCAGTAACTTCTTCAGAGAGACTACACCTAAGTCTGCCTAATTCCAAGAAAGTCCTCCCAAATGGCACTGAGAAAAACTCCAGTTCCTCCCTGTCCAACGTGGATCACACTGCCTCCAGGCCCAGAAAACTGCGCTCTAGAGCCTCCTTTGGCAGGCGACCCAGTAGCCCGTTGCCAAATTCCCACCAGTTTCAGTTAGTTATTTCCAAAGCGCCCAGTGGGGACCTTTTGGATAAACATTCTGAACTCTTTTCTAACAGACATTTGCCATTCACTCCACGCACTTTAAAAACAGAAGCAAAGTCTTTCCTGTCACAATATCGATACTATACACCTGCCAAGAAAAAAAAGGATATTTCAGATCAGCGGATAGAAGCCGAAACCCAGACAGAGTTAAGCAGGTATGGCACATGAACCTGCTTCAGGATGTTGCAGAAATTAAATAAATATCCTGTATTTTATATCATGTACCTTATGTTCCACACTTAAAATGCAGTACTGCCCTTTGAGTGGAATGAGGTCAATGTGATTTTTCCATTTGCATGTATCACTAGAACTATCAGAGTAATTGTGGAAAAAATAAAAAGCTAGTAAACATAAAGCTCCTTGTAAACATGAATGTTACATATTTTAATGTATTATTTCAAACAAGGTACTAGAACTTGTGTATATTTTTAAATATACTTTGAGAGAGTCCTTAAAATATCAAACAGCATTTATGTAAATATGACTGTTGATTCATGTTTAAATGGCAAAATAATGGGCTATAGAGGGAAAAAAACAACTGTTTATCTAACAATTCTTGTGCTCTGTTCCTTGCAAATACTGAACCCCAGTCTTATATGGCAGCAACTCCCCAGGAATAATTAAGACAACTGGGATAATTTCTGGAAATTAAGTACAACTTGCCTCAATAATGTTTTCATATATGACAGTGCCTGGAACATAATGAATATTCAGTAAAAGTTTGCCAAATGATTGAAGAAACAAATCTTGTAAAGTATTAAGTGGTACCTGATTTGTGATTGTTTTTCCTAGTGTTATATAAACACTTAACTGGTACTAGGTTTTAGTTATTTTAGAATGTGAAAAAAAGCAATGTAAGACTAATATTCTCTTCTCTGGATAGAGGTAAGAGGTACAGTAATATCAGTTGAGTCTGTATACATTTAATCAAAGAATTAAGGAATTGAATCTCTGATAGAACTTACTACCAAATGAGGGAGAAATAAGGAGAGCAATTATATCATATCCTTTTCTGATTATGACAGCTTTTAAAGATCCTGGTTCCTATCTCCCTAGCCCCATTCTGTCCGATTGTAATCTAGCTGCTCTTCAGAAAAAGGAAAAGAAGCATATGTAGTCCAAACCCTATCAATTTCCTGATTATATAATTATAAATTACACTTTTTATAAGAATAGATGGGTTTTATCTCTTATGTTTGAGTTTATTTTTTAGACAATAAAGCTCATTACTACAGTGTTTATATTTTGAAGGCTTAACAACTATTTTAAAACATTACAGCTTTAAATCTGATTTTGAGGCAGTTGAGACTAAGAACTTCACAGATTCAGACGTGAACATAAAGCAGGTAATAATAATGAGATCTCTTTGTGTTCCACTGTTTTAACCTAATAGAATTTGTAGAGCTACTTGGACTGTGCAGAGTAATCTCCTGGTGACACTTCTCGCATATGATATAGCCGTTCTATGGAAAGATTGCTTATTTACACATGGTTATAGCTCTCTGTGACTGGCTAGATGGATCCTGCCAATCTGGGAAATCATTTGTTGTTTGCATCTTTTCTAGGTGTTAGGTTGGCTGACTGTTAGATGGGTGGATGAATATAATACCTTAAATGTTGATTTCAAAGATGTAAACTTGGATCACGAAAGGAGCCAGCAAAGTTGTGCAGAAGTTACTTTAGTTTCTATGTCTGTATATTTCTAATTGCCACTTGTATTATTGGAAATACACATTTTATAAGACTAGATAGATATATTTATTTTTACTTTTTTTCTAGACCCATAAAGCTCTTTTTTACAGTGTTTGTATTTTGAATGCTTAGCAATCATTTCTTCTAAAATATTACAGCTTTTAGTTTGATTTTGAGATAAACTGATTATTCCCCAAATAAAAAAAATATTAATTTAAATTTAAATTTGTTATAAAAATGGTTTGTCTATTAAATGTTAAATATAGATTCAGGGATACAAGGATAAAATATAATCACACTTAACTTTCCTCTTCCCTTCTGAAAATGGGTAGAGGATTGTAGGCTTCCATCTCAGCCATTAATAGCTGTTTGACATAGCACCTTGCTTCAGGCCCAAGGACAAATAACTTAGCCTCTTCCAGCTTAGTTTCCATATCTAGAAAAACTGAACTTAATGTGCAGGATCATTGAAAGGAAGAAATGATGTGGGTAAGATACCTAGCCTAACAAAGACTTACTAAACAATGGCTATGACCAGCTGAGATTTAGGAAGAGAGTTAGTTCTGTAGGTAATGAATAAATGAAAGCAGAAGTCTATTTTTATGACATTGTGCTCCAAATATTTATCCATTACCCATAAGAAAATGGTTGTCTCCTTACCCATAATCAGTACCACCAGCAGTATACTTGAGGAAGCTAATAGAGTATTCACTGCACTAGACCAACATTTTAACAGTACTTTTAAAAATGTTAAGCAGTATACATAAATCAGCATTTACAGATTCAACCTAACAATGCAAGTAAAGGCTTGGCGTAGTGTGTGGCCCATTGTAAGGATTCTATAAAAGTGATCTGCCATTAGTTTTGCCTGCTTATTATTAGTAATACTGCCAGAGTTACCACTGGATCCACCTAATCTGTATGTTGGCATTTGAAACAGGTGGGCTATTTGAATTTCTGAATGATGGGATATTTTTTCTCAAGTTTACTTGCAAATTTGCTTCATTTTCTCTTTACATGTTTATTTGTGGTAATTCCATAATGTTATTGAAAATATCCCTTATGAAAATACAAGAAATAAAGTTTTTTTAACCTCACTTTAAAGAAATTTGAGAGAGAAGTCTTTATTGGATGGAAAATGTATTCTCCAACATCCTTTGTTATAATGTATCAATCACTTTTATCTATAAGATAGGTAAAAATCTCTAATCTGATTATCTTTCCTCAACTTTTTTTGAAGTTTGTTGTTTTGCTTTATTTCTTTCATAATTTATTTTTGAAATGAGGGTTTCTTCTTCTCATTGCATCCCCAGGCATCTAATTGTGTGACACACAGTACTGAAGGAAAAATCACCGCTTTACCTGTGCAAGGGCCTGGTTTACCATGGGACGAGATTAAAGATGGTGCTGTCCGGTGCTCCTCATCAAGGTAGACAGCTGATTACAGGAGAGTCATTTCAGCCGTCTTCAGCCACCTGCTTCCCTGCATAAGACACAGCACTTGGAATATAAGTACTGCTCTAACGGCATGCACTCTGGTCTCTGTTGGTGTCATATGATTCAGAGGCAGTGTTAGTTTTACTAAGGGAAGTTTACAAAGGAGGTACTCAGTAACGCTTTAAATGAATTCATCTTGTTAATTCATTAATAATAAAGGAAAAAGGGACACTGGCTTGTATTCATGTGAAAAAGGACTTTCCTCAAGACATGCCCTGGCCGTGATGCTAATCACACGGCACAAACAGCACTGAAGATCTGAAGACTTGTAATCTGGGATTTTGAATATTCACTATATGCCAGTGCTTTTTCTGTCCATGCTATGTATTGGCACTATTTTTCAAAGCTTATCATCTTTAGTGATTATGGAATGTGGCAGCTAAATAAAAATGATAAGTTAGCAGATAGTATAAAACCTAAAAAATGCCTGTGATAATTTCTGCTGTCAAAAGCCTTTCCAGTGTTAGAGATTAGATATGAGATGAAGGATGTGGAACTGTAAAAAGGGTTAGAGATTAAAAAGAGGGCAAGAATGAGACAGACAGCAGACAGAAGGCACGCACACTCGATCCCTCAGGGCCCATGGCCTCTCTCAGGCTTTTCCTGGGGAGGGCTGTGGGGAATCATTGCTATTCATAACTTAAGATCTATAAGCTACTCATGAGCCAGTGTGCAATAAAGATAAAGACCTAAAAAAAATATGTATTCCTTTATTACATATTCCCAATCTTTATTATGTTCAAATATTTTAATTTTCTTTTTCCAGGACAGTATGTCAGTATTCCCTACAGCTGCCTTCAGAAGAAAAATCCACTCTAAGATCTTTCTGACGTCTTCATTTTGCTTACTGGAAATCCAGAATTAAGAATCATATGAACCATATTAAATAAGTCAGAATTGAACACTAATCTCTCTTACAACAAGCTTTGAGGTTCAATCATGTAATATAAGCTAAATTTGAGAAAATGACCAGAATTTTCTGAAATAATTATCCATCACTTCATCTTTAAATCCACAGGAAATGTGTCCTTAGATTAATAAAACCTGCTATTTTTTTATATTAGCAGCCATAATTCATGTTTATTTTCATAAGTAAAAACAATAAAGAATAAGGGAAGAGTTTTGGAGAAATGCAGACTTCTGATAGCTCAGGATGCACTTCCTGGAATTTCTAACCTCACCAGTTCTTTGCAGATACTATACTTCTAGGTTTTAATGTTGTTTTAATTAAGCTGCATTTTTCAGGGGAAATAATCTTTCTGTATAGCTTTGTTTATTCTCAACTTGCAGCTTAAATATTAGAGCCTGTGAATCAGTTTGAAAGTAAAACTCTTTATTCATTTTAATTTATTTGAATTGCATATTAACTATTCTTATATTTATTTATTCAGGAATTAATTACTTCTACTTACATTTTTCTGCCAATTCACTAATTTCTGGTAATTAAAATCAAACTTTAAATAGTATCCTAATGTTTTTGAAATAGCTACTAAAAGACAGTTAGCTCATAAACTAATGAAGAGTGTACATGTAATTTAAAATCATCACTGTATTTATGTACACAGATTTCCTTATTAGAGTGTTTTCCTCCTCTCCAAACATTTTGAGAAAAAAAATTTTTTTTTGCTCAGTCAATTTCCCAACCTTAAAACAAGATACTCTCCTAGAGGATTTTATAGTTGAAATTCCTGCTTCTCTGGACAACTGTCCTCTTTCCCCGCCTGCAAGTGCTGTGCGGAGAAAGGCTCACACCTCTGCTGCTGGCCTGGCCAGGGGCCCAGGACACGTAGAACGCTGTGGGAAGCCCACGCCCCCAGGGGCCACATGTGGTAGCCTTCTTGCCTTTGGTGACTCTCTGCTTTGTTTTGTTTTGTTTAATCGCAGCTTATTTTTTACTGCTGGATTAATGTTGCAGACATCTATGAAATTTTACTCTATTAGGGAATATTTTCTCATCTTTAATAAGTATTTATCTTTGCATAATTTCAGAAAGTAGACATATTTGTTTCATAACATTACTGTTAACAATGTAAGATGGAAATGTATTTGTAATAGTAATTAAGTACTCTTGTTTGTTTCTATAGCCTAAACAGTAAGTCAGCAATCATTTTTATGCTTTTCCTTCACAGAGAAGAACTGCTGTATCTGAATTTCATTGAAGATGTAACAGATGAAATTTTGAAACTTGGTTTATTTTCAAACAGGTTCGATGTTTTAAATTGTATAATGATGTTGAACAGTACATTACATACTCTTCATTATGGTGTTATTTTTTTAAAGTTATTTCCACATATTAGGAAATTAAAACTTATATTGCTTTCTTAGGGAGCATATTATTATAATTGATAGCAAACTGTAAGGACTTTTTAATGTATATTCTAAGGCAAATTCACAGTTTGGGGGAATTGTAGAAAAAAAGGGATTTTACTATTTAAATAATATTATCTCTGTTAGATATAGAGAACAGATTGGTGGTTGCCAGAGGTAGTGGGGGTCGAGGGTGGACAAAATGGGTGAAGGTGTTATGAAAAGGTACAAACTTCCAGCTATAAAATAAATAAGTCATGGGGCTGTAATGTATATCATGGTGACTTTAGTCAGTAATACTGTATTGCATATTTGAAAGTTGATAAAAGACATTATCATTCATGTAAAAATCCAGAATATACCAAAAGAAATACACACACACACACACACACACACACACACACACACATACACTATTATATGTTTTAGTTACAATAGACAAGTAAAACTAAATTTTTGCTTCTGATTTGCAAAGATCCACCATCTCATTTTATTACTTGAAGCCTTCAGGAAAGCCAAAGGCAAGCATTTTTGTTACATATGTTACCAGTGAGGATAAAGTCGAAGCTAGGTTTGCACACTGGGGGTGAAATACAAAGTTTGCAAAACCAGATTAGGTATTGCATGTCTTAAGGAAACTATGTTGTCCTGAATTAGCTTGAACAGTTTGACAATCACTGGGCACTAAGCCCCACTTTACATTATGTATCATAGGATCCCATTAGGTATACTACATGCCTTTTCATCTCATAATAATATGTCAAGTACAGACATTCCTAATGAATTATTTCTATTTCTATGTGGGGTTTTTTTTTTTCAGTTAAAGCAAACATTTTTATTTTTGGTATAAAAAGATACCAGAAAGACCAAAAGTTTTTTGACAATAATTCTACTTACCTCTTTCATTTAAAAAAGATGGTTTAAAATGCTTGCATAATAGGTATCGAGTTTAAGATTTAAAAGATGAAAAAATTCTTTTGACCTGTTCAACAACAAAATGTGAATATACTTAACACTGCTGAACTTCAAAATGGTTAAGATGGTAAATTTTACATGATGTGTTTTTTACCATACAATAAAAACTGTAAAACTCCAAACTGTAAATCAAAAATAAAGCAAAGGTTACAAGCAACAACAAAAGCAGAAATTTTTGCATAAAACATAGGTATTTATGCTTTTGAAAAACTTACTTTTTTCCTTAGATTATAGGCCTGCTTATTGCAAAATTTTTCATAATAGCACCAAAAAATTTAATCAGTCTACATGTTGAATAGTGAAGGTTTGGTTGAATTAATTGTAGAATATTTAAAAGAGTAAGTTCTGCTCAGATATTTTTTAAAATGTGGTAAAAGTGAGTTTATTGATACAGAGAGATGTTCAAAATATATAGTAGATTAAAAAAACAAAATAGGTACCCAAACAGTATGTATTATTTAATTCCAGTTTTGATAAGAAGTACATATGCATAGAAAAATGTCTAGGAGTGAGTAGTCCAAAACATCAACAGTAGTTGTAAAATATAGGGCACAGATTTCTTGGGCTATTAAAAATTGCTAAATAATTCAGACCTACTAAATCTAAGGTTGGCTTTACTGATAATAACAAATGGTAACAAGTGAGTTGTTTTTCAAGAAACCTATTGATATATTCATGTGATAGCAAGACAAGCATGATCTAGTTGAAAGAATAAATTCCCTGCAGCCAGACATATTTTCTTAGAGATGTCACTTTTCTCATCTTTATAAAATAGTTTTTAACAATACCTTTCTCTCCCAATATTGGTCACAATTAGAACAAATGTTTATTATGTGTCTAGCACAAATATGTACCACTTAGTGATGCTTAGTAAGTGCTAACTTTAGGTTATTACATAGATTTACCATCAGTGGAATGTTTTCAATTATCTAGGAATCATTGTAAAATAACTCTTAAGAGTTATTTTCTTTAGGGTTTGGTTTTGGGGGTGGTGTGTATGTGAAAGGAGGGAAAGGAGAGGTTTTTGGTATTTGTATATAATGTGTGAGAAAAAAAGAGAAAGCTTCTTGGGGTATGTGAGACAGAGGAAATTTTTGGACCTGATTTAAAATATTTTATTCACAGAAGTGTAAGTAGCATGCAATCTTTCAGAAATATTGGCATCCATCACATAGAAGCCATGTGTAAGTTCCAAACTGGAGAACTTAACAGAATGGAGAAGAATTCATGTTTGTTTAGCTTTGGAAAGAAAAAGAGTAATCTAAAAAATGTTTTCCAACCTTTATAGTTTAGTCATTGCATGGCTATTTTATATCAGTTGTTTTTCTGATTTTGAGACTAACATTTTTACTTGTCATTTGTAGGTTTTTAGAACGATTGTTTGAGCGACATATAAAACAAAATAAACATCATTTGGAGGAGGTTTGTCTTTCTTTAGAACTTCATTAGAAAAATGCTGATATATAAAGAACTTTAAAGTTTTTCCATACCCACAAAGAATGCATTAAAAGCGAACATGTTTTTCCCTTACACTTTTTTTGTGTGTTGGGTGGGGGTGGGGTGGAAGGAGAAGAATTCATTCTGCTGAGATTAGCAGTAGTGCAGACAAAAGTAATACAATTTGACTAGCTTAATGTAATTATTCTTGTTTTTTTCTTAATTCTAGGGAAAAATGCGCCACCTGCTGCATATCCTGAAGGTGAATTTAGGCTGCACATCCACAGAAAACTCGGGGAAACTGGATGGTGTTGATATGTTGAATTTACATGATTTTGAAAAGATTGAGAATTCGGAAGAATATAAAAATGAAAAAGATACAACAGTTCAACAGGAACGGCAAGAATACCAAAAAGCTTTGGATATGTTATTGTCTATACCAAAGGATGGAGACGAGATATTGTCTTCGCCAGATGAATTCTCCCTGCCCATCTATAAGCCAAAGTATCCAGAAGGGGTTGTGGGTCAGCAGGTGAATGATGGAACAGATCTTGGACCTTCAGTTTGGGATGAAAAAAATCCAGGTATTTCAGACAGCCCAACAGGCCAGGAAACCTCTGTGACTGTCATTGAAGGTGACAGTGACACAGAAAAGGCCAAGACTTTAGATGAATTGTTCTGTGATGGCCCAGCACTCTCCCAGTCTGTTCAGCTCTGTGGTGTCAAAGGTGACAATAGTCATGACATGGAAGAACCAACTCTTAAAGTCATGGAAATGAGCATTGAGGACTGCTCTGTGGATGTCTGATCTTAATTAATAAATGTCCTAAATGGCCAGTAGTTGAATATTCTTTAAATATATATATATAAAGATGTCTATATTCATTTCCTTGCTGAATAATAAAGTACTATAAATTTAGCAGCTTAAGACAACACACATGTATTATTTGCCCCACAGTTTCTGTGGATCAAAAGTCTAAGCACAGCTAAGATGGATCCTCTGCTCTTGGTCTCACAAGGCTGCAATCCGGGTGTCAGTTGGGGCTATGGTGTCATCTGGAGGTTTGACTAAGGGGACAATCTTCCAATCTCTTTCCAGGCTGTTGGCAGAACTCTTCTTGTAGCCCTAGATCTGAGGGCGTTGGTCCATCGCTGGCTGGTGGCCACTGGCTATCCTCAGCTCCTCAAGGCTGCCCACTGTTCCTTGGCACTGGGCCCTTCCATAGGCAGCTCGCAACATCGCTGCTTGCTTCTTCAGGCCTCTCCCCACCCTCCCTCTTCATCCATGTGACTCTCAGACTCACTGCCCCGGCTCAAGCTTCCTTCCTCTGCCGGGGCCACCAGATTGTTTAAGGCCTTCTCAGTGGCGGCCACCCTGATGCGGCTCCCCCCTTGGGCCCAGTCTCAGCCCTACTCCCACCTGCCCTGCTTGGACACGTCCAGTCTTCTCCATCATCTAACTCTGGGTACAGCTTTTTGTCTCTGGGGCCATGACCCAGCCTAACTTCTGTACCTAACAGAGTATTTTGTTGTTATCCTCAGGTTTCTCTTTGGAAGTTTAATTTAAAAAGATGAGTTGATTTAAATAAATAGTACAAGTAGTTCTTGGATAGGGCAAAAGTTGTGCAAAAGTAGAAAGTGAGTAAGTTTGGGAAACACTGACTTAAAACTCTTCGAGCAGCATCTTAATTTACATCTTTTCCTCTGCCCTCGCCCCCCTGCCCCTCCGCAGAGGGGGATTTTTGTGCCAAACTAAATCAAACCTAGGTGCGATCTTCATGAGCTGTGACCTGGTTACAGAGCATTTTTGTGCTTCCTTGTTTGCTGAATGGGGATAATTACAGAGCTTACATTGAAGGACTGTAGGAATTAAGTAGGTTGTATGAGAATTAAATACTGGCTGCTATTTTAAAAGAAACCATGCCACTCCCCTCTTAAAACAAAAATCTTTCAGATTTCCTCCTGCTAATAAGATAAAGTAGAAGTCCCTTTGCACTATGTAAAGTCGTGTTTTCTTTCCCAGCTTATCTCTTGCCATCCTCCCAAGCATCCTAAGTGTCTATAACATTGAACTGTTCGCTGCCTCAACATTGCCGAAGTCTCGATCTTTCTGCACATGCTGTCTGCTTGGAATGTCACCCCCTGTGCTGCTCTCTTGAGCCTTCATTGACAGCCTAGACTGAATGTGACCCTGAAACCTTGAGTGATGGCTCCAGCATTTGTCCCACCTGCTCTGGGGCCTTTCATATTTACAGTATGAATTCTAATACTGCTTATGCACCCAATTTGTCTCCCACCTAGACCATGGGCATGTCAACATGAAGGGTTTATTTCTCTTTAGATCCTCAGGTCATTGCTTAAGAATGAATGCATTTGTTCATGGAGGGAAGAAGGAAGGTCAAGCTGAAGGGGAAGTTTTGCTACAGACAAGGTTATGGGGAAAAGAGGACAGATGTTCCCTCCTTTCTTCACACTCAGAAAATGCAAATTCCCCATGGAGAATGTAGCAGATTGCTAAATTACATGAAAATTTCCTCATCTGCTCACATTTTAGGTGATAGAAAATACAAATTATCATCTTCCAGAAAAGCCTTCCATTAAGAGTCACGTTTATTTCCAGTGAAGCCAATTAGAAAAGATCAGAGCAGTATTTACAGGGCAAGACTACTGCTATTTGCCAAGCTGTGTGCTTGCCAATGAATTACTTTACCCTGGGCCTTGGTTTAAGAGTTTGGACTAGATGATCCTAAGATTTCTTTGAGTTCTAATGTGCCAACATTAGTCTTAGCTTAATTCTTAGGGTCTTTAGAAATTATAATTGAAATAATTTATGTCTAGAAGTAGACACACCTATTCCCTCTTCATGTGCTAATATAGTCGTAGAAAGCAGTCTACTAAATGGAGTCAGACTTCAGTAACAAGAGTTGCCACTTAGTGACTTTTCCCACACCTTTTAAAAGCAGCAGATGGAGCTAATAATCATGGCATATCCCAAAAGGAATAAATGCATGTTTAAAGGCCGTAAAGAAGATACCTTTGATTTGAAGTAAGGATAGTTTTGCTCCAAAGCCAATCTTGTTGCCTTGGGAATTCCATCCATCCTGCACCAACATTCAAGATCTGAGATAACAACACCCAGTATAGTCCTGGATTTAAGACTTCATACTTACTTCTAGTTCTTCCAAGGTCTTGAAAGGGGTGAGCTGACCTTCAAGTGTTTCATAAGGGGAAGAATATACTGTATTCATTTTCTACTGCTGCTATAACAAGTTACCACAAATAGTGGCTTTAAAATGAACATGCTTATTATCTTACAGTTCTGGAATGAGAAGTCCTAAATTCTAACTGCCAGGGCTGCAGTCTTCTTGGGGCTCGGAGAGAACTTGTATCTGTGCCTCTCCCAGCTTCTAGGGGCCCCCTGACTCCTTCACGTGGAGCCCCTCCCTCCACCTTGATGGCCAGCTGAGCACATCGTCCAATCCCTCCCACCTCTGCTTCTGCCAGCACTGCCTGAGGCTCTCCTGTCTCCCTCTTAGAAAGACCCTTGTGATTCCCTCGGACCCACCTGGGTTAATCCTGGACAGTCTTCTTGTGGATAAAATGAAAGTTCCTGCGGCCAGGATTCTCACCTGGCCCTGGTTGGCTAGCTCACTACACACGTGTGGGCAGTATGTTGCTATTGACTCTATATAAAAGAGCTCCGCCCAGTGCTCTGGGCAACACGGTGGCACAACTGCAAGGCTGCAGGAGAGCAGAGGCTGGAGTGGTGGCAGCGCCAAGGACAGAGGCCCAGAGAGCAGCTTGCTGCATGCAGACTCGCTCTGAGTGAATGGGATTTTAGTGACTGACCTGCCAGCATGGAAATAAAGCCGAGTATAACCCTTTCACCCCAAGAACGTTCTACTGTCATTTCTTTGGTCACACTTATCCATAGTGAGCTTGCCCGGGGCTGAAACCCACTGGCAAGACACTTCCCATCTCAAGAACCTTAATCACATATGCGAAGTCCCTTTTGTCATGTAAGATAACACTCACATGTGGCTATATAATGAATCCCAAATTTACCTCTAGATTGAACATCTGTGGCTTTTTGATTATTAAAGCTGGTTCTCACACTTCAAATCAGAATCATCTGGAGAGTGAGTTGAGGCAGATTTCTAGGCCCCTCCCATAGCTTCTGAAGTGTTCAGAATTTTCAGATCTGGACTGAGCCTCAAGAATGTGCATATCTAACAACCAGCTGCTCTGCTGGTTCAGAAACAACCCACGAGAAAATGAAGTAGACATTCAACAAATGACACCGAGTTCCACTACGAGGACAGTAGTGTGAAGAGCTTTATCAACCTGCTAGGAAGTTGATATTGGGAAGTACATCAATAAGTATTTATTCTTCAAGTATGTTAATTGTTCCACAAATGTCCTGATTGGTGAAACTGGCTATTTTGGCAAGATGCATTCTAACTCTGAAGTGACTGATTACTGTGGAGATGTGTGATTATAGATTGGCAACTACTAAAAGAAACATCTATTGTCTAGTACATTATTTAAAATAACCCAATGGGGAAACAGAACTCATATGCTTCTATGCAATAAGATCTAAAGTGGAAAATAACAGAAGCTTTAATTGCACTATTATATTCACACACAAATCATATATTGCTTCAATATTTATTTTTATGGCAAAAATAGACTTCATTCACATATATTACATTCAAGCTTTTTTGCCCAATAAATGTACACTTTTACAAACCAACAATTTAGAATTAAGTTCTTCTGATTATACATCTTTACATTATTGATCACAGCATTTAAAATTGATTTTTAAACTAGAGAATGACACTAGACAACTATTTATATTAGCATTTCAAAAACGTAGAATTCCCAGTGCATTGCTTGAATTACAGGGCAACTTTCTAAGAAAATGTATTTCATATAAATTTTCTCCAGATTTTGGGTGTAAGTTTTGTTAGGTCTATTAAATCATAACAACTCTGTTGGAATTTGTATTTAAATAGATTTTGCCATGTAGATGTTTACTTTTGAAGTATGCTTTGCTAAATTTACTATGTATATGGTCTGGAGTGCTTCAATTTTTAATCAGGTTGTACAACTCAGAAACATACATTTCTGGTTTGTTACAGCATAATCTTCATCTGCACCAAACAGCATGGACAACTCAGAGCATTTCCCTCTTTTAAGCACAACAGAATGAAACACTGAAGTGTTTCCACAGGAAAATTAGGATATTTAGCATTTGCAAGATAAAACTTTTATATGTTAATGTAAAAAAAAATCACTTCAGAATACAGTAAAAAGCAAAATTTATCTCCCCTCACTTTCAGTGTGTTGCTTAGAAATTGAGTTTACTGATAATTGCATAATAGCTCAATTTTACAAGAAATTAAGCTTACTTTTAAAATCCAATTGAGAAAAAAAATTAATAGGGAGAGGGTATATATTAATATTAACAGAAAATTTTCAAAACCATTAAGAATCTGTACACAATAACCACTGTTTCACTCTCTATTGTGCCACAAAAAAAAACAAACAATGCAAATAAAAAGCCTTAGAGCTCCAACAGTCTAAAAGTTGTTTGGTATAAACAGCTGTAGTATTTTTTCTTCTACCGTTTCAATTCATTTGAGTTAATTCAACAGTTTTGTATTACTGTTAACCATATTTTTTAACATCTGTTCTGGCAATAAGTTTGTCATGTCTGGAGAATACTTACTTTTTCCAGGCTTTGGGGGAGTGAACCAATTTTGCACTGACTTTATTCCAGTTAAAACTCCAAAACTATTAGATCCTTCAAACTCTAAGATTACATTTAAACAAATAGTACTATAAAATAAGCAACGAAAGATTTTTCCCATTTATGAGGTCTGTTAATACCAAGTGATTTCTAAAAAACTGTTAGGCTAAAATTTTGGACAGTCTCTTAGTGTTTATGATGATAGTCTGACCTGAGGTATTTGCACTCATGAGAAATGAGCAACTGAGCTTGTGTCCTTCATTCATTTATTCAGTCTTGCTCAGATGATGAATGAGCAGATGGAAATGGAAAGCCAATTATTATTAAATCTGTACTAGTCTCATGATCCTACCCCCAAAATTGAGGTTGGACAGATTCATGTTCTGGCTAACCTGGACAATCCATCTTTTTCAATTTCTTTGGTAGAACAGACCTGCTCCTATGAGTGAATACTGCAGAATTTTTTTCACTGTTTTGGATTGTGAATTTAAACTACACACACACACACACACACACACACACACACACACACACACAAAATGTCAATAGTATACACATTTGACAACTGAAATAATTAGTCATGTACACAGCTTAAAAACCACCTACCAGTTCAAATAAAAATTGCAGATTACACTGGAATCATGTACTGCTTTTGCCAGTGTATGTACACTACATTATAGATTTAAAGCCAAGGATTTTAGAGATTTTAAAAGCTCCTTTTATATGACATACCACAGACATTTAATGGAAGTTAAGGAATCATCATCAAATTTACCTAATAAAATTTTTTCAGAAATTAACAGCCACACAGTTCTACAGTTAAAAGTTCAAACACTATTATTCCTTTCTTTTCAGCCATTTGTCCTTATACTTTATAATATTAAAGCCAAATTTTAAAGAAGCATACGGTTACTATCAACATATTGAAAACTGTTAAGATTTACTCCAGATTTTTGAAAACCAAGTGTTTTAATTTCTCAAATCTATGGAGTAAACATTTTTTGGAAACATGATATGCAGCCAGACCGTAACTTAGACACCTGTGACCTACAGCTGCCCTTCCACGGGGTCTTTGCCTTGGAACTGCTGCTGCCTCAGTGGCGTCTGCAGAATTCCTCCGTGGTCCACCCTCTTTCATGCCAGTGACAATCCGAGGGAGGATCCGGACGGGACAACAGGAGAGGGGGGGTGTACTGCCAATTCACTTCGCCTGCCTGCCTCACAGCCAGTTCCACAGGCAGCATCCCTGCTCACCTCATCTCCCATTCTGCTCCTTGCCCTTCATGTGCCACTCAAACCTCTGTAACAAATGCTGGGATATTCACTCAGATGGCATTCTCTCATCAAATACCAATCTGACTTCAACTGCTTGCTGAGGCTCAGTCCCCATTGCCTGGCAGAGAATTTGTTCCCTGATCTCACCATCGGGATGCAACAGAGAGAAAACTTGCTGAGTATTTTTCTTGGAGTACAGATGATGGCAATTTGGTTCCATACCAGTGTTTACCTAGCAAATTCCATATGGTTTAAAAAAGCTTTGGGAAGACAAACCAAGAGTAATACTTATAATGGGGAATATTCACTACATCTCAATAATTCAACATACACCTGAATTTTTAGAGCTTAATCTTTATTTGGGAACTGCCTGTTATAGACAAAGACTATGCCACTTTACCAATACAAGGACCCCTTCAAATGTGTTCTAAAATCCTCTATCCATCCATTCCCAACACATGCAAGCTTTACCCAACTGGGCTTTCTGATTTTTCCTCATTTCTCTATAAGTAATTGCAGATATTAGAGTAAATGGAGCCCTTATCTACAGGAACCTGAAAACTACATGCTCTTTTGAGAAGTGTTTTCACAGGAAAATTCCTAATGTACCTAATTCTACTTTGAAATATTTACCTCTTAGCTCAAGAAAGAGCAACCTCCAATTTAGATATTTTAAAAATAAACTTTAAACTGGAAAGAGTTTTAGCTTGTTCCACATGAAATCTAGATGGGAAACAAATTCCCTAAGTTTACATCCAAAAGAGTTCCTTTACAAAGTTTGATTTTAAAAATAATTTATGACAAATGTCAATTCTTGTTTCCACCTGTTAACATTTAAGTCTCAAATAAACCTGCTCCTGGTTAAGTTGCAGCTGACCCCCAATTTTACAGTTTAACACATGACAGTGTTTGATATATAACATACACATTTATATACTTTTTAATACTGTATTAACAGATCAACCCATTTGAAATGCATGTTTTCTTCTAGTGATGAAAGCTTCAACAAAACAGCTGGCCATGCCGAGGTGTCATCTTTCAGTCCTATCCCCAACACTCTCCTGTTTCTGCCTAGACTTTCCTCTTTCTGGGAGTTTCTAAGGAAGCACAGTTCGTTTGTTTTAATCTTGCCAAAGTATTTTAAATTCTAGGGCTTTCTGTATGCTTCACAGTAAGTGTTTCAGAAGAAAGTAATTAATAATGACTGCAATTAACATTCCAAATTATAATCTAAAATGAACACTTTCTGTATTCAAAACTACCCAGACTATTTCATCAAAAAACCCCACTCAAGAAAACTGATACCAGAGATGCCAAAACTGATCAGTGGATACCACTGGTCTACAAAACCCACTTTTTGTGAAAATGGACATTTTGGTAATTTTGATATGAAATTAATATCATCAAGGAACTAAAAGACACTAACATACTGAAGCAGTGTGTTAAGTTTGGCAGACAGTAACATACTCAATTCTGGCACGGTAAACCTATGAAGCCTCAATGTTCCACAGTTCACTCTGGAAAATCATATTATTTCAAAATCCAGTAATGTAATTTCTTTTTATTTAGGAATACTTTCATAAACTAAAAGTTTAAATTTTCAAGAGACAAAAAATTCATGGGTCTTAGAAGCTATGTCAAACATGTGACATTTTAACAGTGACATTTAAATGGTCTAATTTAGCCCTCATAATTATAATTATCACAACAGAAACACAAATATACCATATGTTATTCCTTAGATTTTTGTTTTACAGTATGTTCTTGTCAATGGGACACTTCAAAATGTTTCAACCTGACAGAAAAGCATTTTTCAAAACCATACTATGGGAGGGAGAAAGTATCAAAAACTCTCCTGTCCTTTATATGGTGTGGAGATGGGACACTGCCATAAAATACTACCATAAAACACCCTTACTTCATTCTTCTGGGAGCTCTTTCTGAGTATTTACATTGGGTTTATTGTTCTTTTAAACAGGACTCTTAAAACAATTTTAGATGTAAAATTAATATTTTGTTTCTAAATGAGAAACGTGCCCACTTTCATTTTCTTTAGTATCTTCTGCATTTTCCTCTTTGTGGTTGGTTTCTGGGTAACTCAAGAGTCTAAAGGAAATCCCCTTGCACAGCTGACAACACACTCAGCGGTCACGGCAGTGAGTTAACCACTTGGGGCACTAACATGGGAGTCAGAATTATCCCTAGGGTACTACAATTAGGGGAATTGCCCTAGATCTGGTATTTTGGAGGCTCTGCACTTTGGAGAAGCAGCCTCAGAAGACGGAAAGAGATGGCTCCTTGACTACATGTACCAATTCATCCTTACCTATCAACCCCCACTAGGATGAGTCATCTCAGCCTGGCTCTGCCCACAGCGATGTGCCTAAATGGGATGGGGGTGGGGAGGTAAGAAGCTAAAATGGACCTCAGGGGTGAAGTGAGGGGATGAAAGAGCTGTCACGCAGGTACCTCCTGAATGCCACAATCTCTGGTGGCCCCAGAAGTTTGGACTGTAATTTTGGGAGATAAGGTAAAACTATGACTAACTCTTCCCTTCTTTCAACCAAAGCAAATAAGGCCTCTTCAAGGCTTCTGTTGATAATATACAGGAGCTTGATTTTATTTGTTAAAAAAGAACAGAGGTTTAGGGGGAAGAAATCCAAGGAAACAGAGTGAGTCATCGACAGTGACAGGCCTTGAATTTCCTGGGAATACCTACCCTGTGGGGGATCGGCACCCATACTCCCAAGCCCCCTGTCTCCATCCCAGCCTCTCAGCCTGAGCACAGGTGATACTGTGCACGTGTAAAGGCGGAGCCTTCTTGCATGCGCCATCTTGCACTTACACTGCACTTACTCTGGTCCTAGTCATCCTGCATGCTGTTATTCTTTATCGCTTTCCAAACACTTCTTCTGAAACAATGTCCATTGTTACTATTGTTTCACCTATAAAGCAACACATATATTAACACTCAGATTTATTGTTTTTAACGAAAAGTGCTTAAAAACCATCCTATGCAATTGTATTTTCACTTCATTTTCAACCAATAAAATCAAACTCATTCAGGTTCACAAATGATACTGAAAGAAATAGTGAATCTGATTATTCTCTTAAGTTTTAAATAGTGTGGCTTCATTCCCAACTTTCCCTTACATTAACTGACTCATTTCAGTACCTTAAAGAGTTAAACTCCTGTCTGGAAAATACAGAAGGTACAAATATACATAATTTTAGGATAAAAAATCTTCTGACTATAAAAATGCTTTTTCACATTTCAAAATAACACTTTTAGGATTTTATAGTTTTGGATTTGGTAACTCAACTGTTAAGTACCCAAGTTTTTTTTTTAAACAACACAAGACAATAACATGGTTTTAAATACAAAGTTATATAGGAACCATTCATATCTGTGGATCACCCCCATAGGAAGTTCAGTTTCTCAACAAGAAAACCCCAAATATTTTTAGTCATAAAATAAAACTCCATTATCAAAAACTAAAGCTTTCTATGCACCTCAATGATTGCCAGAATTGCCCAGCGTAGCTTCAGTAAAATAGAGAATTATCTAGAAAATACAATCTCCAAAATGTGTGCAAGTACTGCAAATCAGACAGACTGGAGCAGGGCAGGGCCCCCAAAACCCAGCCCTCCTCCTCAGGCGCCTCTCCCAGGGCAGGCGCCCCCTGCTCGGCCTTGTGCTCTGCATGTTTCCTCCGTGTGCTTAGTCATCCCGTCGCTGGCGTCCCACTGCAGCCTTCTGCGAGGATCGAGTGTCGAGGAGAAAGTGAGTTAGGCAAGCACTTCTAGCTGTAAACGCGTCACGTGATCAGGTCCCCTTCAGAAGTGGGGGGAGCTTATATGAGCCTTGAGCTTTTCAGGAACTGAATGAGAACGCGGTACACGAACGTGTACTGGCAGAGGGTCTGCACCATCATCATTCTCTGCTGCCTCAGCATGTCCAGCACCCTTGGGCTGTCCAGCACCTAGAACGAGAGGAGCAGCGATGAGGGTGTAAGGGGTTCCTCTGGAGAGCGAGCCGGGGTGGGGAAGAGCTGGTGTCCCCACAGAAACCTGCTGAGGAGACTGGCACATTTGCCCCACTTAGCGCCTTCTCTGAGAAACCCCCAAGGAAATTTGTCCAGAAAGAACCATCAGGCCAGTAGGCCCTCTTCCCCAGCCTCGTGCTCCCCCAACCAAAACAGGAAATAAGCACCTCATTGTGCTCCAGACAGGCGATCATGACCTCTGACAGAATGACGACGCCGGTCCTGCCCACTCCCGCACTGCAGTGGACCAGCAGCGGGGGGTTGGGGCCTTTTGGTTCGCTTGTGCTATTTGTATGGCGTCGAACAGACTGGATCTCTTCCAGGTAGGCTGTGAAAGAGCAATGAAATATAAAAATATTGAGGGATTGGGGCCTGGCCAATTGACAACTTTCAGATTCTCCCGACTGACTGAGCGAGGGGACGCCAGAGAGCGCCCTGGGCGCCAGCTGACCAGCCCCACCCACTGGCGGCCGTGTGATCTTGGGCAAGTCCCTGCCTCTGCCTGGGCTTCCATTTCCTCACCTACAAAATGAAATGGGGAGACAGTCTCTACAGCTCAGCGACCGCATTCTACTCGCTACCAAGTCATACTTTAAAAACTTCTTGTTAAGCTTCCCAAACCTTAAAATCTTAAAACAAGTCCAAAGCTTATCTGTGAGAACAGAGCGGAAATATTTCAGGAACCAAAGTCTTCCTCCCTTTAGTTGACTCAGAAGTGCCAGTGGAGGCTGTGCTGGGAGTCAAGACACTTACATAAAAACCCCTTGAGGTCCTGTGGACAGCCATGCTCAGGCCAGTCTGTGTACTGGAGGTGCCAAACTGTCCTCTCCTGCCCTGTGAGGAGGTGCTTCATCTTCAAGCCTGTAGTAGCGTAGCAACCCGAGTCTGTGCGGAAGCGCGTTGTGATCTTAAACCTTCCATAGGTGACGGTGTTATGCCTGGACCCAAGTCGTGGCCAGTACCTAAAGCTCTTCTCCCTTCCACCCTCCTGTTAAAGACAAGCACAGTCAAACACAGCACAAGATCCAGCAAGAGCTGGCCTTTCATACAGACGGCTTGTCTGAAATTCAGAACCACAAGCCCACCCTGCCTGTTTCCCTGAAGGTCAGGATTCCATAAAGATCAACATGAACTGTTGTTCTTCTGAGGCTGAGAAAGTCAATTAAGAGAAATGAGTGCTCACCTCTTCTGCTGTCACCATAGCTATAATTGCAATGCCTTGTTCCCATACCATCTGCCAAAAATCCTGACAAGTATTCTGTAATGGTCCCTGTGTGGCAATATAGTCCCATTCAATTCCACTTACAGAGACCTGAAATTAGAAAAGGTTTTAAAAAAAATTAATGTGTATATAATATGTATGTATGCATGTTTGTTCATGGTAGTACTAAAGGAGTGAACTGAATTATTCAGGAGAATAAAGAGTTCTTATCCTTTTTCATTGGTACAATTTCCATTACTGAACGCTATAAACTTAAGTCCTCTGAATTCACATAATATCTATGTGACCTGGGGCAATTCTCTTAACCTCTCTGAATCTCAGTTCTCACCTGTAAAATAAAAAATATTACCTATCCTCATAAAGCTGCTGTCAGGATTAAGTGAGTCAATATATATGGGGCCTTGCACATAATAAGTATGAGTGAATAGTTATCATTGCTGCTGTTACAGTTGTTCTTCTAATAAAAATTGTATCAGCTCTCACCCAAATTTCCAACATAATTTCCCCTAGGGAAATACCGAACACATTGGGTAAAGTTTAGCAATTAGGTCAATACCCAAGTTCAATGTCAGATTTTCATAGGAAAAAAATGTCTTCCTTCTTAAGAAAATCTTACCTAGAACCTCTGAGTCAAGATCACCCTCCACAATGAGACTGATTTCACTTAAGATTTAACCTTCCTGAGAACAGGCTGCCATAACAGTAATTACCGATTTGCTGCCAGGAGATCTGGGAAAAGCCTTGCTCCCATCTCACTGAATGAGGCAGTGATTTGTCTGCCCCCTGACATGAAGCCCTGTGCCTTGCCCTGTTCTGCCCACGCTCACTTGAGGCCCCAGCCCTGAGTGGCAACCCGCATTCTCTCTGAGCGCCACTTGGTGGCGGCACTGGGGTGCTACCGGTCACTACAGCGAACAAGAACTAGGAAGGAAGGGTCTGTCTGATGGGGAGCCCAAGAGGGAGGTGTCAGCATTTCCTTATTTAGGGAAAAATGCAGTGAGGTCCCACACTGGTAGCAGATCCAGGAATCCGGAAGCTCAGGCTCCTTTCACTATTTTTCAAGTTGCCTTTGAAGATTTTGAAATACTACCATGGAACTACAACTTTATTCAGTTCTCATTCATCCAGTCAAGAGACACTGGAAGAGTTACTACAAAGACATGCTTGGCTCATAAGTAAATTATGTCCATATTAAAAGGCACATGCAGAGATTCCCAAAGACCTTATAGGGAGCTGGCATTCACAGGCAGACTGCCAGGTCGCTGGAAAGACTCGAAACTGCTCTCATCAAGTATCACTTGCAGACTTAGTAAAAACTGGGAAAGAAGAAAAACGACACCTGGCCATAGAATGTACTCATTCACTACCTACAAGGGAATTTCTCCTTCCCAAAATAACTGGATCTGCAGACTGCATGAACAAAAGGTACAGTGATGGGGAAAAGAGAGCTTCTGGCTTTCCTCACCTACCTATTGTGAATCATCACTTTTTCCATTTTAATGGGTGTAACATTACCCCCACTATACGGTTTCCAGGGAAAAAGTGGCACTACTTCTTCAAAGAAGAAAATGTTTAAAAATATGATTACAGGGAATATCACAAAGAAAACAGATAGTCCCATCATTAAGTAAAAGCTTCGGTGAACACCATAAAAAAACCCAGACACTTCGGTTACATGAAAATGCATGTAGGTATGTGATAAGTAAAAAATAGCAATTCAGCTGCTCTTGAGAGAATTTATGAGCTAGAAAGAAGTCTTCAGGGTTTTTTTTATTACAGTAAAGTTGATATACAATATTATGTTGCTTTCAGATGTACCAACAGAGTGACTGGATAATCACATACATTACTGGATGCTTGCCACAATAGATGTAGTTACCCCATTATCATACCAATATTACAATATTATTGGTTAAATTCTCTGTTGTACTTCCATTTCTATGTCTAACCTATTTTGCAATTTGCAGTTTGTACCTTTTATCCCCTTCACCCATTTCACCCATCCCTCCACCCACTTCCCTAAGGTAACCAACCAAGTCTTATTGCCTATATTTGTGGGTCTATTCCTTTTTTTCTTAGATTCCACATATTACTGAAACCATATGGTATTTGTCCTTCTATACCTGGTATATTTCACTTAGCATGATACCCTCTAGGTCTATCCATATTGTAGCAATTGGAAGAATTTCTTTTTTTTTAATGGCTGAATAATATTCCATTGCATATATGTACCACATCTTTATCCATTCATCTATAGGTGGGCACTTGGGTTGCTTCCATATCTTTGCTATTGTAAATAATGCTGCAATGAACGTAGGTGTGCATATATTTTTTCAAATCTGGGGTTTTGTCTTCTTTGGGTAAATTCTCCAAAATGGAATTGGTGACTTATATGGTATTTCTATTTGTAGTTTTCTGAGAAACCTCCATACTGTTTTCAAGAGGTCTTCAGATTTAGAACAACAAAGTTCTAAAGCCAGGCAAATAAGTGCTCTCTGAAGTCATGGCAACAATGTTGGGGGCAGAGTGTCAGACCAAGGGGAAAGGGCAAACACACTTTGGCTGCTGAGGAACAGTTTCTACCCAGCCCTGTGTTGGATTTCCAAGCTTATAATATGGTTTGTCACAATGTTTCAAAATATCAGGGTGTTTACAGAATACAGCCCTGAATGTGATTCCCACTAAGAATGGTTTATTACTCTAAAAGTTCATTATTCTAAATGTTCCTCTCACCTTAATGTGTGATGCATTGATGTAGCCAGTATTGTTTTCCTTAGTTGGGACCAACTCCACTCTGGCATCGTCATAGGGAAGGACATCTTGGAATCGATTTCTTTCTGCATTTTCAGGGAGTCGTGCTGTTGAGCACTCCCCATCTACTAGCCGTTTTTTAAGGATTCGTTCATATTCTGTGAATACCATTCCCTGTTCTAACCGCTGTTCCAAAATTTTACACTATAAGATAGAATATGTGAAATCATATGAATAAAATCACATGTCACAGTTGCATACTGATTGTATATTTGAAATCTCATTTTCTGTTTGATCTCACATTATCTAATTTTGAAAATTCTATATAAAACCAAAATTAAATTTTTAACAAGCCTTAATAGTAAGAGTTAAAAAAACAAATGAGGGAGGCACAGTCGCAGGGGGGCCATCAGGTGAGAAATTGGGGATCAACAGTGGTGAGGCTTAGAACCTCACCCCCCTGTTTTGAGAGAAATCTTCTGCATCCGTGGATGTTTTATTGCCCTTGTCTAGCTTAGATGAACACATAGTCTACAGGCACACACCTGATCATCTACAATTGCTCTCTTACAACACTAAACTACGTTTTCTACCTTTATCTTACATCTACCTACCACTTCAGCATTTTATTAAAAATAAAAATAATAATAATAATAAAGGGAGGAATGTGGGATCCACATATAAATCAAGTATAAAAATCAAACAAATATTCATATTTGACCTGATTGTTTATAGTTCATAATGCGTGATTAAAACCGAAAGTTTCTGTGATGACTGCCCTTGCACTGTTCACCATGTAAGAACTTATTCACTATGTAAGAATTTGTTCACCACGTAAGAACTTGTTTGTTATGCTTCAGAAGATTGGAGACTGACGAGAATTAGGCTTGAGATGGATTAATGATTGTGCATTGAGCATTGACCCCCCTATACAGAATTTTATTGTTGTTAACAACCATTTAATCAATAAATATGAGAGATGCCCTCTCAAAAAATAAAAATTAAAAAAAAATGAAATAATCTTCTTGGTGAGAAATACAATGCAAAGTTCTGTTTAAAGGTGAAAATTAGCATAAAACAGTTTGCTGAATTCATTTTCTCTAGATATATTTGACTCCTGAGAACAGAAAATGCACCTGCAGAACAGAAAATCCTAGAGTGGGATAATCAACTCCAACCTCTATGAACAAATACTTCAGTTTTATAATATATGATGTATAAAAAACTGAAAACAGTAGTAAATACTAGAAACTACCTCCATGATTCAAATTAATTTTTTCTTAGCATCATTCATGCCTGATTTTAATATAATAAAATGTCATAGCAAATATATCTCAGTCACAAAGTTTTGAAAAATTCAGTAACTGTTTACTTTTGAGATGTTTTCAATATAATGAAAGCAGTCAACACCTGCTTTCTTTCCTGTGTGCGCTCATACGCATTTGTGGATTTCCTCTAATTTTAAGGCCAGTAAAATTCAAGACTGCCACAGGTGGCTGGAAGAAGGTAAAGAAAACAGTCAGAAACAAACAAAATAATCATCATTTAGCCTGAAATTACCTATGAAGACATTAGCTGTGTATCTGCCCCAATTTCAAGGTCCAGGTTACAAAATTCTTTAACACTCATTTATGATGATTAAATGTGTTAGAAAACTCACTGAAAGCCCAAGAAGGCATTTTCATAGCATTTATCGACTGCCCCAGAGAAGGCAGGAAGCCCGCGTGGCTTGTACATACCCTCTCGTCATTGGTGGCTCTGGCCGGCACCTCCTTTCCTTCATCGGGCAGAGGCAGCCGGGACAGGGAGAGTCCATTCAGGGCAGCCAATTTGAGAGGGCCAATTTTTTTCGCATCTACTCGGCTCTTTTTCATTCCCTATAAAAATATTTATATGTATATAAGAGAAATATACACAAATAAAACTCCTTCAAAAAGAAACTTCAAAGGACTGAACACTGGAAAAAACAGGAGTGTTCTCCTAAGCCGCCAACTGCAAGGGAGATTAAACTCCTTCACACACATACGCATTTGTTTAACAAACATTAGGAGAAAGACACGCCTTTCAAGGCCAAAGCCCTGATAAGTCTTGCAGATAGAATGCTTTGAAATCCCATTGGTTCAGGCTCTGTTGTAATGAAAGGTGAAGTTCCAGGCAGAGAACCTTTCTTCACAGAAGTCCCAAATTTCAAAAAATGACACATACAAACCAACCCCACAAAAAGCGTTTCGAATGCAGTCACCTGATTATAATAGACTTTCATGATTTTATAAAAACATTCATTAGTTCTTTAAATCATTCTGAAAAAAGTGGTTTTTGTGGTCTATCCTGTTCTACGTTCTGTTGCAGATTTGTGTGATCTGGGGGATCAGTACACCTATCAGAACTGCCACATTTTTAAAACCAGGAAAATAAAACAAGGCTGGTATCTCCATTATGACACCAGAAAGAGGGCACAAGGGAGGTCATCACAAGAATGCTCTCTCTCGAAAACAGGTGTTCCCTCAAGTTATTATTAAAGTTAATGATTTTCCCCTTTAAGGCAAACAAGCCCAAGAAGGCTAAGTCTCCTTCGACAGTCTACACCTCATTGAAAACCGTAATATCATAATGCAGTAGCCCTAATTTGACAGAAATTGTTTCCTCAGTTCTGTCTCCTAAATGAAATCAGCTTTACTCTAGCTCTACCAGCCTGGGAGGGAGGGAGAGGGTGGGAAGGAAGCACACAGACTAAAAGGTCCCTGCTTGGGCTAAAATTCGTGATTCTAATGTGTGCAGAAAACAGTGCTATGTTGGTAAATTTTAACAAACGGGGTTGGGGGAATCTAATTTTTAAAGTTTGCCAGTTTCCATGGTGCATATCCTCCCACCTCAGCCAATTTCCAACTGCCTCAATTTAAGTCAGCTCTCACCGGCGAGCATGGGATGGCTCCAGCAACCCTCTGTCTGAAAATGACCCAGAACGCCCCACCACCAGCTGAAGGAGCTGACTGGCTGTAAGGTCAGTGCTAAAGCTAGTATTTGAAGAAAGATGCATATAGTCAAAACCAGCTTTAAATACCCCCACTTCACCCTTAGTGCACAACCCACACAGTGATTTGTGTGAGAGCCACTGCACAAGACTTGGGACAACAGGAAGACCCCTACAGGGCTATGGGAGCACTCCAACCAGTCCACCTTTCTCAGATAATAATCAAGTCTCTGGAGGTGGAGAAGGGTAGAACATTCTAAAATGTTCCTGCTTGTCTGCAATTTATCTCATTGTTTTTAATACTAATAAGCATCTATAACTTTAATTCACTATAGCATGTAAATCAAGTTTGTTTGCTGTAACAATTAAGATAATGGCAACCCTGTGTTACTACAGGGAGGGGGAGTTGTAGGGGGTTCTTCAGTCTTTCAGAAGTCACTAAATTGGATGTATGACCCAAGCCACTGTAAAACATTTGACTGAGCACTGCTACATGCTTGGACCTCACTTCATCCCCCAACAAACTCTCTGGGGTCATCTGCATTCACAATGAGAAAACTGAGTCACAGGGAGATGAAATAGCTTACACAGTGTCACATGGCTGCCTCTTTATACATGGTAATCAGTGTCAAAACAATAAAAACCTTTCATTAAAATCAGGTAGGCTGCATCACAGAATTTAGCATTTTTCAGGCCTAACCTTACGTGGGACTTAACAGAAGGCCACAGCAGGCAGAGGACATGTTACCAATGGGAAGCTGAGTTCTGGTCTGTGAAGGGTCTGGCGCACTGGGCAGAGAATTAATAAATGCAAGGTCTAGACTCAGACTCAAGGTTTCCCACTTGGAGGTCCTTTTCCCCTGGCCACAGCTGCCCTACACATTGTTCAAGTAAGGAGAATCCCTAATGCAAAAAGGGGAACAAAAGCATAACCCAGTCACATGATTTCAGTGATACTCCAGGTCTTAAGTCAATGAGGGAGAAAATTTCTATTTTTAGAGAACCAAACTGATTGAAGTCCTCAAATTTAGTGGAACTTGCTAGGCACATTAAAAGCATACAGGGACAAAAGCCTTGAGTACTGACCTATACTCAAACCAAGTATTATTTGGGGAAAAGACTAGGTTCACACATAAAAACGACAGGCCATTCTGGGTTTAATTAGGGAAGAGTGTTAACAATGAAGGCTCTACCTAGGAGGCTCGGGGCCACAGGTAGAATATTTTGGAAGACACATACACACTCTTGTCTCCACTGTGGGCCACGGATCAAGAGCCATACCCTCCACTTCAGCCAACCTAAGACACTGGCTTTTACACTGAAGTAGATGAGTAAGAAGGTCCTCCCAAGAAAAATTAAAAATTAAATTTACAGTTCAAATCTAAAATTCATTTAAAAACACACACATTTAAGACTGTGGCACTATTAGAAGTAGTTTCAGTCTATGTGTACTATTTCTTAAGCACTATAATATTGTCTGAATTTTTTCCAGCTTATGAAGATTATGCCATCTCAGAGGATCTAAATATGAAGCCAGATCCATACTTGCGATGGGCCCTCAAGTCGGAGTACACAGCCTAGCAGAGAAAGGGGAAGAATCCTAGCTGCCAGGACACTAGGTGCAATTGGGAAGCAGAGTGGGCAGGATAGTTAATCACTGTAGGTTGGCCAGTGTGCAGGGCATGGCGAACAGACATATGGGCATTGAGGAGCTGGAAAACTGAGCAGTGCAGCAAGGGGACTTAAGGTGGACTTGGGACTCAAAGGGTTTCAGTGAAAAGAGAAGAGTTAGGCTTAGACAAGCAATTATTAATAATATTTTATATACAATGTACCTCAGTGCAGGACAGTGTACAAGGTAAGAGAACAACTGACAAGATAAATACATGTTTAAAATTCCAGCTCAGTCACTCACTAGTTGTGTGACCTTGGGGAAGTTACTTAAAGTCTCAGTCTGTTTCCTCTTCTGTAGGAACAATAGGCCTGTTATAAATCGCACGTGGTTTAAGGAGATGACATGTTGGGCACAGAGTAAAAATTATCTAGGAATAGCAGATAGAGACGATGTTATGTTTCCTTATATTATGCTTCGAATAGGTAAGAAGTCCTTAATATGTGATTATTCACTGTACTGATTATTCAAGAGCTGTATAAGGGGCCTTCCTTTGCTTCTCAGTTCATTTATTCTTCTTTAAAGAGACCTGGAGCTGCTCTCAGGTTTTTGTCTTGACAAAGAGCCACTTTCCTTCCCAATTCCAGAATCACTCTCCAAGCCCTCAGAGATCATGGCCAAGCAGTTCAAGCTGTATCCTCACAGACTCCTAAAGAAACACATCAGAAACTTCCAGGGATGCTTCTCGCAGACACCACACAAGCGAACTGAACAAATGGGGCCCTGACCTGCCGCAGGGGGTATTTTTTTAATGGAGGCTGACAAAGCAATCTTGGCTGAAGCCCCCAAACTTTGACTTCCTTTTCCTTGGCACTGCATTGCTACACGTATCACTCATTCATTCTTTCTATTTCATTCCACAGTGGCTGCTGCGTTTACCTTTTCAATTCACCTAATTTATTGTCTCTACCAAAATCACTACAATTCTAATCAATTCCTATCACTTCCATTGGTAATCAACCTCAAAGTGCTCCAAATAAGACACAAAAGAAGTGTTTCAGTGCTAAAAAACACCAGGAGGAGTCAGAGAAAAGAGAGAGGGTAGTGTGGAGACCAGGTTTAAGGGGCCGTCCCAGGCTGGGTGAGGCACACATGCGCACCGCTGGGCTTACCCCCAACGGCGGAAGTCCGTCCACAATGTCCTTCTTCCCAGAGAGGAGATCCGACACCGGCCTCTTCTTCAGAGAATCCCTCCTCGCTCGGTACCGCCCAGACGTGGTGAGGTCAGACTCGGACATGGAGGGCGTCAGCAGCCCGTCTCTTCTGGGCCGCCGGGCCTCAGCGACCATGTGAACAGGGCTGCTGTCTCTCACCCTCCTCTCAGCCTCGGTGATGTGGGACTTGGGCTCGAGAATGTGCAGAGGGCCGGCAGCTGGGGTGACCGAAGCACAGGGGAAGGTCGGCTGTGGCTCTTGGGAGTAACTGCCCCGGGGCTCACGTGCCTGCGGAGAGAGCGCCGTCCCTGTTCTGTTCTGCTCTTCAAAATCTTCCTCCTCCTCGCTGCTGTGTATCAGCATGGTGGCGTCGGACAGAGATTTTTTATGACCATATCTCGGGCTTTCCTGATCATCAGTCTCTTCTCGTTTTGTTCTCTCCATGAGAACATTTGGCTGGGAGCCTGCGGAGACAGCCCGCAGCGCCACGTCTGCGGCGGACGCCGACATGGTCCTCTCCTTAAGCCTCATGCCTTCGAAGCTGTGCGCCAGCCCAGCCAACTCAATGCTGTTCCTCTTCTGTAACTGGGCGTGCCGGGCTGAGGTGAGAGGCTCGCTGACCTCCTGGAGAGAATGGGCCACCGGCAGGCTCTCCTCCTGGAACGTCTGGACCGAGTGATGGACTCGCCTGGTGATGAGATCCGGGTTGCTACTGCTCACGTAGAGGTGGCGCGACAGGTCTGGGGTGCTGTTGGCAGGCCTCGGGTATGGGTACGGTGGGGGTGGGCGGTACACCTGTGTTTTCATGATGTTTGGGGCTGGGTAGTCCTGGGCCTGGAGCTGCACGTTGGTCAGCTCAGGCACGCTGACAGCACCCACCACAGGCCGCCTCTCTGCGGGGTGGGGGTAGGCAGACTGGCTGTGGAAACTGTAATTCAAACTGAGTGGACAGTGGGCCGACTGGGGGGAGGTAAAATGGGCATGCTCCCGAATTTCAGGTTGGCTATAGACCAGGGCATCGGGCCGGCTGTACGCGTACGAGTGGCCGATGTTGAGGTTTCTCAGCGAGCGGCTCTGCCTCTCTGTGTGCACCATTCCTCTGTTGAGCTGCTTCATCACAGTCTCATAATCTGGGGTCGGGCGGTAAGATGGAGGTATCAGGGCGCTGTGCCTGTGTGACAGGACACAGTCAGGTCTCATGACGTCACTCCCGGTAATGCTTGGGTTAGAGGACATGGGTGAGGGCTGCAAGTAGGGCTGAGCGTTATTTAAGGAGTTAGTGCTGTGCGCACTGTAGACACTGCCATTGCGGATCCGACCGCTCAGGTCGACCTGCGCTCGATCCAAACTTGTCTGAGAGTGACAATAGTATCCATTCTGGTTGGTCACAAAGAGGTTATCTGGGAGGAAGAAAACATTTAAAATGTATTTTTAACATGAGAGTTTACAAATGTATTAAATTGGACCAATTACTCCAGCCAAACATTGATAGGCCCTCAACACTGACGACATTTTCAACATAGCTTATGAAAATCCAAGCAGAAATCTGGCTATACCCACATGCTAGCTGAGTGGGCAGGTCATTTTCTGGAGTCTCAGATTCCTCACCTACAGAATGGCAATGGTTTTGTCTACTCTAAGAATGGGATTCAGGATTTGGCCCCCACAATATATAAGAGTGTAATTATATCATAAAATACTGTATTTTTCTGCAAGTCAAAAACAGGTTTTAAGGAAACAAAGCAGACTTTCTGGAACTCTGGGGAGCTGCAGGCAGAGAGAGTGCTCAAAGCACCGGGCCACCGACCGCTTTCTCTGGCTGCTTTCTCCGCCTGGTGGGGATGTGGCCTTACTGATGCTGAACTAGTTCAAGCACTGACTGTGATCACCTCCTGAAATGGAATTCTAGGTTGTAGGTAAGTTCTTCCAGAATGAACATAAAAGGGCAATACTTTAGCAGGATCTGAGCTTCTCCAGCTCCAACAGTACCACCAGTACCTGCATGCCTCACCAGGGGGCCAGAAGAACCACGCTAAGATAGCCACATCTGCCCCCTGCCTCAGTAGGCTCAGCATCCCCAGCGAGCAGAACCGGGGGTTAATCCAAGCTACAGTGGCTGCGTGTGTACCTGTCAGGGTTGGAAGGAGGCATGTTTCTTTTGTCTGATGTGCACTTCACCTGAAACACCATTACTAATGAAGGTGATCTCCAACACTTCAGAAGAAAATCAGGAGTCATGTCCTTCAGAAGACAGTTAGTTGCCTTTGAAAGCCCCATGATCATTTAAGTGACAACTGGTTACAAAGTGAATATACCCGTCTGGTGTGTGGACTTCATTCAGGCAGCACACCCAGCCGGGAGACACCAGGACTCTAATGCATCACTGTATTCTTCCTGCGCATACACAACACTTCCTGATCCGTGCACTCTTCCCATGTGTGAGTCCCTGGGAACTGGCTTGTCTGGACTAGCGTAATACCTGCCCACCTAGCCTCCCTGCCTCCAGGCTCCTCTCTGTACCCCACAAACCATCGAGTTGTGAGCCTGTATGTGTGTAAGACGATGCTCTTAACTGACAAGAGAAAAGGTGACTGTAATCCTGGCAAAGCAGAAAGGTATGTACAAAAGTCACCAAAATTCAAGGAAGAACTGTTGCAATCTAAGGAGGTAAGTGACAAGAGTCCACACAGGAGGAGGGAAGGCTCCCTTCCAGCCTGACCAGGACAGGGAGAAGGCCGAGATCAGACTCACAGAAGACACAGCATTCGAGGGGCCTTGTGGGGTGGGTGGGGGGATAGGCAGGCCCAGCTTGCATCGTAGCCAGCTCTCGACCTCTGAGCCACACAGGATTTTGCCTCCTTGCCTCTGGATGCCAGGTACAGTCATGTAACAAGTGGCACAGTGTCATGAAGCCATTTTCGGCAAGCTGTATTAGCTGATATTTATCAAGTGCTTACCATAAGCTAGATGTCTGCTGAGGGCTTTACAGGCAGTAGCTCCCTTAACTGCCACAGTGACAGATGGAGCACAGAAGTGATGACAGGGGGTGGCCAACACAGACTTGACAGGCATCCTTGCTGAAATCTGAAATGCGCCTGAGACTGCCCTGGAAGCTTGCAAAGGGAGAGGGGGAGGCCACGGGCAGACCTTCCGGGCAGCCAACAACACGGCTGGTGCAGGAGCAGGGAGAACCCTTCACACTGGGAAGAGGTTTTTCAAGAAGGAGAGCAGGCTGGAATTTGATGGTGAGGGGGATGGTGGGGCACTGGGACCTGTGAGAAGGCAGTCTGAGTGGAGGAGCAAAGGTGGAGGGGTCAACGGATGTCCAACAGGGGTATGACCCTCAGTAGGGGTGGGTGGAAAAGGAAAGCAGAAGCAATCCCAACTGGAGTTGGAAGACAGAAGAGAAAAAAATACTAGGATGCCTATAGATGGAGGCAAAGGAATGAACAGCAAGGCACAGAAAGCGCCTTTTCCCAGAAGTAGGTGGGGCTGGGGTCACGAAACCAGATGAGGGTGGTGTGCAAGGAGAGGACAGTGAGGAAGGTAGAGAGACACCCCAAGGAGGGCACCCTCGGAAGCCACGCAGCAAAGCTCTGCTCCCCTCCTGCCCACGACGGCAGGGAAACGTATGCCCACAGAAGGCCCTGCACAAACACTACAGTCACAACCCACCTCCTCATCTCTTCCCCAATCATTTCCTGCCAGTTACCTACATGAGGGTCCAACTGGACCACTCTCCTCTCCTAGTATCACCCTTCCTCATTCTGAGCCGTGGCATTCACTGTCCACCAAAACCAGGTGCAGCAATCCTGATCAAGTATCTGCCTCTGTCTGCCTCTTGAAATCCACCCATTTTAGGTCGGTCCAGAGAGCCCTCCTCAATCTCTCCCCAACATGAAGGGCCTTTCCTCTGTTGAAGGGCACAGTAACTGCTGGCTCTCTCGCATCAAAACAATCATGTTCTCTTTGTTATTAAGTTATTTGTGTACTAGTCTTATTACCCACTATTAGATTCTAAGCTTCTTAAGATGTGAAATTACTTCTCTGCATCAATCTCCTTGCCTTTATAGTAAAGCCTTGTACACAGAGTAGGGTAAATGTCTGTTAAATGAATGCTTAAGATTCAGCTTTAGAGACGTCATCTTAAATACAGCTTCCTACACTAGTCAAGTGAACAATAAAATGCTTAAACCTTTACAGTGGAAGGTTTCAGGCTGAGAAAAGAACATGAGCCTGGGACACACTGTGCTGGAAAGAAGGAAGCACTCAAAGTCTAACGGGGGAGCATTAACAGGACAGAGGAACCAGCTTGAAGGAGCGCCCATGGGCCAAATTCGGAATCATTTAGCATCAAAATGTGATACTGCATATTGCTACACATGTCTAGAAACTCAATCTAATGGTAGCTTCCTCTGTGACACCAGAGTGGCTATAATCATAAAAACAATTTGGATGTAACTTCAGCCAAAAACTATCCTGGCTCCAAGATCTCCAAGTCTTCAGATTTATTTAGTCTTCAGCGCTAAACTTTTAAGTTAGAGACAGAGAACATGCCTCTCCTTAATGACATGCCCCAACTAGACACCGCCACATGATCTATTACAATTATATTCATAATCCTAACTCTCTTTATCCTATTTCAATTAAAAATCTCTAAACACCACTATCCCCACAACACAGAAACTAAGATAAAACTACACTATAAAACACACACCCCCTGAGAAAAAAAATGAATGAAAATCTATTTGCCTCTTTTATTACCCCAGTAATAATAGGAATCCCTATTATCACAATTGTTATTATGTTCCCAATAATCCTTTTCCCAACATCAAAACGACTATATATTTCGTGTCGTATCTATCCAACAATGACTTTTAAAACAAACATCCAAACAAATAATAAGTATCCACAACTACAAAGGACAAACCTGAACCTTGATACTAATTAACACTAATTATTTTCATTGCATCCACAAATCTGCTAGGCCTACTACCCCATTCAAACTGTAATAATTTTGTAAGGCATTTCAGAAATGGTGTACTATACCTTGGGAAGAAGTATATGGTTCTGTATAGTGTCCATTGTAATGCAGCTGGGGTGGGGGAGGCATCACATAGGGCTGGGGTTTAGGCTAAGAAACGGAAAGCAGGAAACAGGGTTAAAACACATTAGCCATGTAATATATGGAAAGGAAGTCTCTCTGCTTGTTTCTTTCCTGCCTTTAAAAAACTTCTAAAGGAGTTAAACATATTATATATGGAATGGAAAATTTACAGGAAGACCACTTAGAGGTAGTACATTTAATCATAGGCAAAATCACCTAGTATTTTAAATATTTACTAACTTCTGAGTACTTGTGGCTAGTAGTCCAAATGTTTAATATTAGTTTGGACCTAATATTTCACTATTTGTAATAAAATATAACAAATATTATATAAATATTAGGTTGGACCTATGAAAAATCACCATTCTTTTGTTAAAAATGATCAAGTATCAGCACACTTTTGTGGTCCAAACTAAAATTTAACACAACCAAAAGCATATTTTACTAAAGTAGATCACATCACTAGAAAAAGAAAAGCAACCATACTTTTCCTTCTCTCTTACCAGGGACATCCTTGAAGATGACCTCCTCCTAACTGGGTTCACTGAGACAGTCTGAGTTTGCCTAAAAAATAAGACATGTCTTTGAGACATAAACACACATAACCTTCCTAATTCTATCAAAATATATTAATAAGAAGGTAAAATGATAGATCTTCTACAGCAAAAAGGATAAACTAATCCAATCATAAATTAGAGAAAAGGAAACTCTCCTCACTCGGGGCTGTGACCCTTTCCTGTTGCCCAGACCCCTTGGACCACAGTGCAGGGTCTGAGTTCCACATGAAACACCAACTCTCTAGACTGTCATTGGGACCAGCAGGTGTGTCATTCCCTAGTCCATCCAGGTGAGACCTCTGGAGTGATCATAAGCAGAGAGGAAAAGAGGCAAGGCCAGACCGCCAACAAACACCCCAGGGCAAGCAAGATTTTCAGCACAAATGCATCTGTCCTGCGAGCCCAGGGTAGCCCTGACCACCTCCATTAGCAGCCCTGAGGGGTGACCATCAGCTGCCAGCCTAGAAGCTTGAGGCAAAGGGAACTGCCTGACTTCACTTAAAATCTATTAACCACCACCACGAACATAATGAAGAGGTACATTTATTTCCTAAAGGAGCTAAATTAGAGAAAGCAAAAAAGTTCAGTAGGCCTGTGGCAAACCCATTTATCTTTTTCTGAAAGAAACTTGTCTGATTGGTTTTGCCTATTTTCTTTTAAAGCAATGAGAATATTAAGGAGTGTCAACTGACAATTATCAGATAATTTGAGATTTTAAACTATTTACAGCAAGTTCTATCTTTGAATAAATAATTAGATCAAAAAGGAGCAAGAAACAGGAAGGCCTATTTGTCATTCTATCATTTTTAAACAAAAACAGGATTTTTTCATTCTTGGGTACAGTTTTATTGCAAATTTTGTCAAAGCACTTTTTAAAAATAACTTTTACCACCTATTCCTGGGTCATGAACTTATGTGAATCATAAACATTCACTATAAAAATATTTTGTGACTTTTGGTTATAGCATTTTAAGGACTATTTACTAGAAAACCCATAATCACCCAGTAAACAATTCATTTAATCAGCAAATTTACCATAATATCAAGTCTTATGTCTCATAAATTAACATTCTTATTAGCACTCTAACAATGTATATCTTGTATTCACCCTGAAAATTAATCTATTTTCACTAGCAGAAGTGGTATTTCCCACACACGGGATCTGGTTTGGCACCCTTGCTGGCAGAGTCCCATGTGGACCCAACACTGCCCGCTGCAGAGGCTGCTTCCTGCTAAACACAAGCTAGTACATCTTCCTCAAGACTTTTGAGATAAAATAAAACCAGTGTTTATTAGGACCTTAGCATCAGGTGACTACAATTGCTTTTACTAGTTGACTTTTTCTAATTAAATGCTTTCTTTAATCATTCTTTCATTATCACTGCAATACGCTGAAGTTATTGATGAAGAATAAGTATCTCTTTTCTAAAGGGTGCTCCATCTGCCAAGTATTTGGTACTGAACAATAACAAAATGGATGTTAATTCTATTAGGCTGCAAAAATACCTGTACCATGGTAAATCACTTGGGGGTCCGATTGAGGCCTCCTGAATGAAACAAGACAGGATGGTGCATGTGGGCAGTTGTTTAAACACTCCTTAAATGCATATATTAATGTATTCCTTAAATTCAGTGTCCAAAATCTGGAGACCCTGTATTCTGTAGCCTTGAAATGTACTTAGCCTTGTTTATTCTCCATTGCCGGGGCTAAGTTTGGGTACTCTGAAGTTTACATTTAGTCTGAAGACACACTTTTAAAGTACTATACACTCGCAATTCAGAAATGGGGAGAAAGGGTTGCTGATAGAATCCTTCTAACAACATGTCCACAGTTGCTGAGCCTGGAGCAAAAATAAAACTTAAACGTATTAGACAAAAATCCCAGGATGCAGAGTGTAGAAGCATCAGTGGCATTTCCCACACACGGGATCTGGTTTGGCACCCTTGCTGGCAGCGCCCGTATGGAGCCAACACTGCCCGCTGCAGAGGCTGCTTCCTGCTAAACACAAACTAGCACATCTTCCTCCTGCCAAATTGACACAGGCAGGCAGCCCTGCGATCAGTTCTGCTATTCTAACCTTTTTTGTCCTACCAATGTTCTTACAGATGTACTTTACTTTGAGATCAGTATGCCAGAGAAAATGTTATGTTGGTTGTGTTTTCCAGACTTTTGAGACAGTTAATACTATTCTGCCAAAAATTAAACAGATGAAGAACTCTTAGAAAAGAGTATTGTGATATGTGCACTGGAAAAGACAAAATAAGAAAGTGCTGCTAGCTCAAGTAAAATCAAATGTTACTCCTTACTAAACAGCACTAAGGACTGCATATGATTACCTCATGGAATCCAAACACGAGCCCCATGAGGGACCCTGCTTATTATCCTGATTGCACAGATAAGGAAACTGATACTTAGATTAAGTAAATTGCTCCTGGTCACATGACAAGTAAGTGGCAGAACCCGCATTTGAATAAGGCAGGTCTGTCAGATTCCTAATCATAGGCTCTTAACAACTGACATTTGTCTCACCCCCTTCCGAACTCCAACTGATTTGCAAGCTTCATGGAGACAGACAAGACATGCTGTGCTATCACTGGTGGCCCTCCAATGTTTGTTGAACAAATGAATGACAGTAACTGAGGACTGCAGCTGATGTTTATTACTACACATTTGTGGTCAAGCTCATATTTCTAAGAGTTGCCTCAATTTCATTTTGTGATCTTCCTTTCTTATGTATTTACAGTTAGTGAAAAGTGAGATTTTGATCAACAAAAAATGTGTTATGTGGTGGAAATACCTAGCAAATGTTAGTCTCAATGACTTTCTCTAATGCGATAGGAGTTACTCTGTCTTCTTCCAGGCCTCCCACAGTCTCTTCAAATCCTGCAGTACACCTACAAGGGCAGCCCCATCCTGTCAGACAGGGCCTACACCAATCAGTGTCCTGACTGCAGGTCTCCAGAACAGGTGGACACCGGCTGCTGTGTGCACTGACAACCCTAAACTGCAGGCAACGCACACCAGCACACCAGCTCTCATTGCCCTCAGTAAGCAGCCTACTGGTGACTGAAATTCAACTTCCCCTCTAGAGAAAGTCCGTTGAAACCTCTACCACATGGCTTCGAAGGCTGGGGGAGTCCACTCTCCCCTGCTTCCCCACCCCCCACCTCTGGAGAGAAAAGCTGCCTACACCAAGAACCTGCTCAAGAATCCTTTTTTTTCTCCAAGCCCTTTTCTCATATTAATTAGAGCAGTTGATGACAGCATGACCAGTTCTGGGGTTTGAGGTGGGAGTGGGGGTGGAAGAAGTTATTTGACCTAATAGACTGACATTATCTCATTTTAATTCCTTATCCAATCTCTTGATGGAATGTTAAATAAAAGACCCATTATTCCCACTTTATAGGCTAAAAGACAAACTATCCAAAAAACAAGAAACAACAAATGCTGACAAGGATACAGAGAAAGGGGGACCCTCCTACACTGTTGGTAGAAATGTAAATTGTTGTAACTGTGTGGAAAGCAAAATGGAAGTTCCTCAAAAAGCTAAAAACAGAAATACTGTTTGACCCATTGATTCCACTCATAGGAATTTACCCGAAGAAAATAAGATTCATGATTCGAAAAGACATATGTACCCCTATGTTTACTGCAGCATTATTTACAATAGCCAAGATAGGGAAGCAACCTAAGTGTCCATCAATAGATGAATGGATAAAGAAGATGTGGTACAAATACACAATGGATTATTTATTCAGCCATAAAAAGGGAAGAAATCCTGCTGTTTGCAACAACGTGGATGGATCTAGAGGATATGCTCAGTGAAATAAGCCAGGTGGATAAAGAAACTCCAAATGATTTCACTCATTTGTGGAGTATAAAAACAAAGCAAAACAGAAGGAAAAAAACAGCAGTAGACTCATAGATACCAAGAAGGGACTAGTGGTTACCAAAGAGGAGAAGGCTAGTGGGGAGGGAGAAGGGGATTAAGGGACACAGTAATTCACAATTACAATATAGGTAGGTCACAAGCTCAGTAGTACAGCACGGAGAATACAATTAGTGACTGTAACATCTTTGATAGACAGTGACCGCACTGGAGGAGATGAGGACTTGATAATATGGGTAAATGTTGAACCACTGTTTGTATCTGAAACCATCATAATACTGTATATCAATGATACTTTAATAAAAAAAATTAAAAGGTAAAGAAATTATTTTTAGCAGTTTTAAGGTTGGGTAACATAAAAAGATGATTCTGTTACCTAAAGTACCTATTTAAAAGAGGGGGGGAGGGGACAAGACTGCTGATGGATCATATCACTCTATACATTCTACATTACAGTCATCTGAGTAAGGTTAGATGAATTACATAAAGCCATCCCAAACACCATTATGTCATATATCAGACTGGGGGGTGGAGAGTGGACACTCCAAAGGTAAAGTCCTCTTTTGTATGCAAACAGAATCCATCTCCTGAGTCACAGGTCATCCTAGACTGAACCAGACATCTGGAATCCACTGTTCAATTTCACGCCTGCTACAGTTTTTAAATGCCCATCACACTTAAGCTTACTCAGTGGACAATGAGAATGAATCCACGAATACTATTAAATGTAACTAACCAGTCTAGATTGAAGGCCTTAAAAGAAATGACCATAAAAATTAAAGGTATTTTTAGTTTTTTTACCCATCTAAACACTAAAAGCTAAGAATTCACTTACTTTACTTGGGGAACAAGGGCTGACAATATGTTTCCCACAGAATGAAGTGTAGATATCATCCACCATAAATAATTATACAGGAGCAGTTCATGAATATGGACTTCCATAATCTACTGGATGTATGGAGATTAAAAACAATGTAGAAAATAGTCCTCTAAATGTAATTATTTCATTTTAAAAACACCCATTTTCCTTATATAAATATAATATATACCACTGAAGACCATAACATGGTTTTATTTATGTTTGGCAAGAAACAGTAGTATTACAAAAACTAGATTTCCAAAAATAAACCACTTACCACAAAAAATTTCTTTTCCATCTGAATTTTAACATCATTACCAGGTAGTGATTTGCCAAAAAACTCTTAAAAAATGGCATTAGCCACCAACCAATATGGATGTCTACTGGAAAGGGGTTATATTCTGCCATTTATTCAACATGATTGAGCTTCTCCATTATTTTCCAGAAGAGGGAATAAACTGAGATAATGATGGTTCAACACTTAAGTAGGCTTAAATTAATGGAAGGCTTGAAACTTAGGAAAAGGACTTGTTCCAATAGACTGCAATCAATTGTTTCAATCTCAGAACACTAGCTCTGCATAAAAATGTCACACACAGCTGGGTAGCCACGCGAGACCGAGGAGCCCCAGACGCAGCTCTCCTGAAGGGGCAGCACCACTGAACCCAGCCACGGAGGGGGACACTCATACACAGATGCACCCTGGACCACAAGCATGCAGCAGGCAGAGGCGGCTTCCTATGTCCACAACGAAAGCAGGCTTCCTCCTGTCAGTTAGTGCTTTCCAAAACGCAGGCTAGCAGAGAGACTCACATGCGACTAACCAGCCCACGGCTGCGGAGGCCACAGGGAGAAGAGGACTGAGACCCAAGTGCTGACAGTTAGACAGTTCCTCTAAATAGCAGCCCTGGTCATTTTTTTTCACAAGTCACGAAGATGGGCCTGCCTCTTTTTCTTTGCATGGTTGTTCCTGACCAAATTTTTCTTCACACCCTAAGCCCCTATCAACAGAAGGCACTTCCACAGCCTTTCCTCTTCCTTCCTGGCCTTAAGGGACAAACGCCCTTTAAATTTTTTTTTCCACTTTAGGATTGGTTAATAAAAGGAAATCAACAAGGAGCAAAAGGGCTCTTCTCCCCCTCTGATTCCCATCCTGTCTCATTCATTAAACAAATGCATCAAGGCCTCCTGTGGGTCAGGCTTTGCTCAGCACTGGGAATATAGGGGTTCACAAGACAGGGAGAGTGTCTGTCTCCTGCATTGCTGGGAGCTTACCAGATGGGGCACATGGGCAGTAAACAAGCAGACGCACAAATTCAAGCTCTGCGGGGTACTGAGAAGAAGAATAAAACAGGGTAAGAGGATAAAGAGAGACAAGTAGCAGAGGGGAAGGGGATAAACAGGGTAGTCAGAACAGCCTCTCTGAAGAGGAGCACCTCTGATCAGACAACGGATGCGATGAGGCAGAGAGGCACGTGCAGACACATGTGGGAGCATTTCGGGCAGACGGAGAGGTGAGCACAGCACCCCAAAGGAAGCAGCAAGTTCACAGACCAGAAAGGATGCTGGTGTGGCTGGAACAGGGTAAGCAAGGAGGAAGGTAAAAGAAGCAAGGGTGGAACCAGGCAAGGACAAGATTGCATATGACCTTGTACTTTTGTTTTAATATTTACCAAAGTTTAAAGACAAATGATAGGATCTGACTCATGTTAAACTAAGACCACTCTGGCTGACTTGTGGAAAGTAAGCCCTAGGCAGGGCAGGCACAGAACCACGGAGGCAGAAGGCTTTTGCAGTATTCTAGATGAGCACGATGGCAGCTGGCATTAAATGTAAGCAATGGAGGTGGTAAAAATGGTCAGGTTTCACATATATTTTGAAGGCAAAACTAGCAGCTTGCTGATGCATTGGATGTGGGATGGAAGAGAAACAGAAATCATGTAAAAATTAAGTAGCTTTGGGGCCTGGGCAACTGGGTAAATACGGAGTGCAGCCATTTGTGGAAATGTTGAAGAGTGCGGAAGAAGCAGGTTTGGGGGCAGAAAAAGGAGGTGCAAACCAAGAGTTTGGTTTTGGACATATCAAATTTGAGATGCCTCTTAGCTACTCAAGTGGAAACATCACGTAAACAGTAGGATACAGTCAAGAGGTCAGGGAGAGACAGCTAGAAATAAAACCAGATGCACTTTCAACATACAGATGCTATTTTAAGCCTGAGACCACGTGAATTCCCTAAAGATTGAGTGTAGATGGAGGAGAGGTCCAAGGATTAAACCAGCAAAGGTGACTGAGAAGAAACAGCCTACAAAGAAGAAAAGCAGGAGAGGGTGGGATCCCACAGCCAAGGAAGAGCAGGGTGCAGGAAGGGCACGTCAGAGGTCAAGCTACTGAAATGACCATGAAACAAAGGTCACGGTGACTGACAAGCAATGCCAATGGTGGGGCAGCTTAGGGGAAACAGGGTGGTAGGAAGGAGAGCAAGGATATACAAATCTTTTGCAGAAATATGCCACAAAGGAGAGCAGAGATATGGCACCATGGCCAGAGAGCATGTGGAATGAAGGAAGAGTGTTTTAGATGTGCACTATTACAGCATATATTTGTGTGATGATAGGAATGACCTACCAGCGGGGAGGAAACCCACATGGGCTAAGGAGTATAAATTCTTCAAATGGCTTGAAAAGCTGAATAATCATTCCTCAAAATGCTGATAAATAATATAAAATAAAGGACATTCCCTTTTTAACTTTCAAGAATTACAATGATTCTAGTAAATAGTTGAAGGAAATCACAGGGGTGTTCTATAGTTATTAGAAGTTGGTACTTACATACAAAGCTGAAATGAAAAAAAAAATTTGAGAAATATTTTAACATTCAATAGCAAAGAATTTATTATAAAATGTCTTAAATACCATTTTCGTAAAATTTGCCTTTCTAGATGATACAGCACAGCTCAAGATGAAAATTTCTAAACTCATTATTTTCTATAATTTCCATGTGCAAAATATACTTACAGGCTACGCTGATTTAGTTTGTAAAATTTGTGTCGTGCAACACAGAGTCTCCATACATATTTTGCCGTTTCCATGTCTTCCTAGCAAACAAAATATGCAGAAAGTAAATGAAAGTAACATTTGCAATGATACAGACCTTATCTGAGGGCAAGACATAATTGGGTGACATATTTCAAAGTCACTTTTAACTCACTGGGATTCTTTCATTTTCTAATACTGCGCGTCTCATTTGAATGCTATCATTAAGATTAAAATTATGAAGACAAAAAAATCTGCCTATTAAACAGTTTCAAAATGACTTAGAAATTTAAAAATTATGAATATTTCCGATTTTATTTTGACAGACAAATATATTTTTAAACAAAACATTTGACTCAGTGCCTCAATATTGCCTTTGTCAAGAGAGCAAAAGCAAATAGACCATATTTCTACAGAGCCACTCATTTATCAATGGAAATTAATGTCAGTACTTATTTTCTCCCCTCCTTAGTCCCTTAATTTAAAGATCATCATGATCAGATAGTATTTATCCACTGATTCATTCTTTCATTCAACAATATTACTGAATAACTACTTTTTGCCAAGTGCTATTATGCAAAATGTTATATAATTTTTCAGTCCACCCACCCGAAACATACACAGAAATGCTAACATGTTAACTTTTAGGAGAAACATTCCATGCAGACTCCCATGTTTACTCACAGTTTGAAACTGGATGGTCTCCTCTTTATTTGCCAGCTCCAGTGCAAAAAAGGACTTATTGTGGGACATGTTAGCAATATCATGCCACCTAAAGAACAATGAAGAGGAAATGGCAACATAAGTGCTCATGTTTATATAGTAGTAGACAAAGGTGACCCTTGAACAACAGGGGGGGTCCGGAATACAAATTCACAGGCAGTCGAAGATCCACATGTAACTTTTGACTCCCCAAAACTCTTAACTACTCATACTTTACTGTTGACTGGAAGCCTTACTGATAGCATAAACAGTCAATTAACACATATTCTGTATATATATTATATATTCTATTCTTACAATAAAGCAAGCTGAAGAAAATGTTTTTTCAAATTGTCTCAAATCTCAAAAAATTCTTCCAATATATTTATTGAAAAAAATTTTCACATAAGTGGACCCACACAGCTCAAACCCATTGTTCTATGGTCAACTGTATTACTTGAGTATTTTTATTTGTTAATCATTTTAGAAATAAAAGTTATTTTAATCAGCTAGCATGCATCTTCTATTTGAAGTAACAACAGCTAGTTGCAAAAAGTAAAGGCATGTATACTAATGAGGACAAAGAATATTTTAAAATGTAAACCCTATTTATTCTCAGTTGCCAGATTCATTCAATGAAGATCACTATCTTAGTTGGTTGCCAAGGCCTCCTTCATCCATTCAACAAATATCTTAAAGAGCACCCATTATAACAACATCAGCAATTGTCTAAGGTCCCAGGGATACTAGTACCACAGTGCTTGCTTCAAAAGGATACAGATGCGGGGTGAGGATGAAAAAGAGAACATAGAAGCAAACAAATATCACTACGTTTTGCAGGTATACAGGGTCAAATAAGGCACAAAAGTGGAGGAGGGGTACTCTAAAAAGCTTCAGGTTAAGATAAACTTCAAATACTAAAAACTCAGAGTGAATTATTCCGGGTTTGTTCACCAGGATTCAAGTTCCTGTCTTATACTTTCTAACTGTATTTTAACCATGTTTAGATTTTATATATTAATATTTTATTATACAACTATATAATCTTATAAAGGGAAAAATAGGACTGGAAGCAAAAATTTTACCCCTCTTTAACCTTCTCCATTACACTAATTTATTTTAAATTTATTTAAATAAATAAATAAAATGAATTATAGTGATTCAATGTAATTGTTAAACCTAAAAAATATTATCATCTGGGCAGAGGATCTGAACACACACTTCTCCTAAGAAGAAATTCAGATGGCCAAAGGGTACATGAAAAAATGCTCCACATCACTAATCATCAGGGAAATGCAAATAAGAACCACAATGAGATATTATCTCACACCAGTAAGCATGGCCAGCATCAAAAAGACTAAGAACAACAAATGCTGGTGAGGATGTGGAGAAAGGGGAACCCTCCTACACTGCTGGTAGGAATGTAAGCTAGTTCAACCACTGTGGAAAGCAATATGGAGGTCCCTCAAAAAACTAAAAATAGAAATGCCATTTGACTCGGGAATTCCACTCCTAGGAATTTACCCAAGGAATATAACTTCTCAGATTCAAAAACACATATGCACCCCTATGTTTATTTCAGCACTATTTACAATAGCCAAGATATGGAAGCAACCTCAGTGTCCATCAGTAGACGAATGGATAAAGAAGAGGTGGTACACATACACAATGGAATACTATTCAGCCATAAGAAAGAAACAAATCCTACCATTTGCAACAACATGGATGGAGCTGGAGGGTATTATGCTCAGTGAAATAAGCCAGGTGGAGAAAGACAAGTACCAAATGATTTCCCTCATTTGTGGAGTATAACAACCAAGCAAAACTGAAGGAACAAAACAGCAGCAGACTCACAGACTCTAAGAAGGGACTAGAGGTTACCAAAGGGGAAGGGTGTGGGAGGGTGGGTGCGGAGGGAGGGAGAAGGGTATTGAGGGGTATTATGATTGGCACACATGGTGTGGGGGGGATCATAGGGAAGACAGTGTAGCACAGAGAAGGCAAATAGTGACTCTGTGGCATCTTACTACACTGATGGACAGTGACTGCAATGGCATATGGGAGGGAGATATAAGGGCACGACAATTTGCAATAACAATATAAGTTGATCACTGGGACTGTTGAAACACTGTGATGTACTTTTGAAATAAACATAAGATTGTATATTAATGACACTTTAATAAAAAAAAGTATTAGCATCATATTAAAGAAGGTAATTTTAAAAATTCTTATCCAGTGAGATGAAGGAAGCTGGCTGGATACCTCCAGTTTTCATGTGGCCCTTTGGGTCCTGTCATAGTCCTGCCCTTTCAGTCCAGTGCCAAAGGGGAGCCTCCCGGCGCAGTACAGTCTAGGAGTGGATCCTGCTCCCCACACTGTGTACACTCTTTGATCATAATCAAGTGGAAAATGCAGAGCCCAAAAGGCAGCAAAGCAAAAAAAATGAAGGAAGGTCAGCTTAGAGAAAAAAATCTTAAAAAGAAAAACTAGTTGGCAAGAAGAAATAGTAGGAATGGTTTAGAAAGCTTGAATAGTGGGGGGAAAAAACCTTTAGTTCCTTTTAATAAAAGTTGCCATTTCACATAGTGGTTAAGACCCAGGCTTAGAGAATATGAGTTTTTGGTAATGCCAGTTAATAGCTGGATGACTTGGACAAATCACTACACTTCTCTAAGCCTCAATTATGCCATGTGAAAAACGGTGGTAATACCCTCTGCTCAGAGCTGTTGTGCAGATTACATGCAAATACACAGAAACAGAAAGCATTCAGCATAGTCCCTGGCTCATGATAAGCACTCAATAAGCAGTAAACACAAAGGAGCCAAAAAACAAAAATAACAGTGTTTTACTACTTTATAAAACCAATTTACACTTTTAATTTTTCATCAAGAGACAACAGAATCAAAGTACATAGAATCTCAAAGTGAAACTGGAAATATTTCTGTGAAATGACCCTTTCTAGATGATGGATTTTCTAGATTATGACATTAAGAAATGAAAAGGCAAGAATTGAACAACATGGTCCAATTTACTATCTTTAAGACAGAAACTGGAACACAGAATATGGAAAAGGAAATTCAAAACACCTGCAATTTCATTGTTCAGAGTTGGACATGATTAGCACATGGCTATTTATCTTTTCTGTCTCCTTATTACATACATTCTAAGATTTCCACAAATGAATATATCACTTTGTGATAATCGGAAAAAAAATCAACATTATAAAAAGTAATTTGAAATTTGCTTAGATGCTGGTATCTTAGAAATTTTGGTACACAACTAGAGTCAGAGAAAGGCTCAGATTTTCCATAAGAAATAGCCCTAGAAACCAGAGCTCAAATGAAAAATCCACATCAACACAAAGAATGGTTTCCATATAGTAAGAAAAGGGTTATGCATTTCGTTAAGTAGGCCATCATTATAAGCACCATTTTCTGCACATTTGGTTTGGAATAAAGTGGCTTATTAAAAAAAACCACTGCAATCAGATGGTATTTTATAGTAGGAAGAGCATATTTCCATTCCCTACTGGGATGTTGGGAGATACCTGGTAAACAATATACTAGTTTAAATACTAAAAATGTCATCAACAAGAGCTACAGAAAGATGTAGGGAAAAATACCTAAATATCACAGGAGGCCTCCCATTCTTATGTTTCACAAAGATACCTTCAAGACACGCTCCAATGGATATGTCACCGCCTTGGCTATCCTGAAGGGAAAAAGCAGAAAACGAAACACTCAGGCAGCAGATGCATAAGAACTGGAGCAACTACACCTAGTCCCCTAAACTTGTTCCCAGATATACAATGTTCAGAAGACCTTCGTAAGGGAAAACAGCCTGAAAGACATAAATGTATCATCTTGTAAATAAATATGAACACAGAGTTCCGATCCATAAGGGACTCCACTTGAAGTGCATTTCAAAAAAACAAACTGCAGAACAGAGATGTGTTTTACTACAAAATTTTTGTCACAAGGACCTCAGCTTTTAAGTTCCCAGACATTTGCCAGTCTTCAGCCTTTGCACAGCAGGACTGCCCTGGGCTTCTCCACTACTTTCTGAGATTCACTGGACGAATTTTGGAGCTCCAGCCCTTGTGCCATGTTTACCTTCGCAGGGTAGCTCTCTTCTCCATAGCCATCCATTCTCTCTACCTCCTGCATGTACAGCATTTCAGCCTCAGGAGCTGTGAGCCCCCTGAAACCCAAAAGATACTAGTGAGATTGTTCACTAAAAACGGCAGGAGGCGGGGGGGGCGTGAGGGGGTGAGACGGGAAGCTTTCTTAACATACTACTTATCGGTTTGGCATATTATAAACATTTCAAGTTTCTACGCATCTGTAATTAGTTATTTCAATCCATCAGTAGTTACTGAAAATGGGCTACATGCAAAGCACTGTGCTGAACAATGAGGGCCATAATATAAGATCCTCTTCCTGTACTTGAGGCAGGCAAGGGGGACACAGGGAATAAAACAATCCCCTAAAAATCTCCAGCAAAAGTTAAATTCTTTCTAAACCACTGAGTAACCGCTTATTATCCAAAATATGAGGCAATACTAAGCATCCTGTGCTAAATGCCAAATGGTAAGTGCAGGAAACAAGGGTTAGAGGATGGAAATCCTTTTTAGCTCTAGCAACAGAATTCCAAGGACAGGTAGGAAGGCACTGTGGGTAAAGAAAGTACTTGACTGCATGAAGACTTGCCTCTCTAGCCTCATTTTTTTTTTTATTAAGGTATCACTGATACACCATCTCATGAAGGCTTCACATGAGCAGCATTGTGGTTTCAACATTCACCCATATTATCAAGTCCCTCTCCACCCCACTGCAGTCACTGTCGATCAGCATAGTAAGATGTCCAGCCTCATGTTTATTGCTTCCCCACACCCAAAAGGTAGCCCACACTGCATTGCTTTGAATATACCACACTCCCTTATGCCTCTGGGCCTTTGCTCATGTCAAACCCTCTTGCTGGTATACCTGTCACCCACCTGTATACCTGGTCAATCCCTAAAATCCTTCAAGACCTGGCCTATATATCATCCCTTCTTTGTCACCTCTTATGATTCCTGTGCAGATTCACCATATACTGTGCATACCTCTCCCACTGCACTCATGCCACATTATTAGCATTATAGTTACTATGACAATGGGCTGTGCTGTCTATCCCTTAGACTCCAAAGCAGGGAATATTGGTGGCAGGTCTTACTATATCTTTGTGCCACAGCATCCAGCACTTTGCCTCCTAGAGAATAATTGTACTCATCTGTCTTTTAAAGAGACACACAAATGAATGAATGAAAATAACAAAAGATAGGGCTGATGTGTGCCTGAGGGATTAATTATGCTAAAAAAAAATCATTCATTTGGGGCAGAAGGAAAAGCTGGGTTTAACCAACTTTTGGGAGCCATCAGCCCCAGGAATATTGAATTCAGGTGAGTGAAAAGCAAGAAAAGATTCATGAGCATGTGGGAAAGAGGAAGGAAGATGGAGGAAAGGGATATTTTAAGAAGATTAATCTTTTGTGGGCGAGTTCATGGATTTATTGGGGAGATACTAAAGGGAAAAGGTTATTTTTAATAAGAGGGGATGAACAATAGGTTATAATTAGACGTGGGTTCAAATCCCACCTCTACCACATGTAACTTTGGGCAAATTACTTAGTGTTTTTGTGCTTAGTGTTCCCAATCTGTAAGGAGGCAACATTTACCTTTAGGAGTGTTTGTAAGAATTTAATGGTATAACAAGTATTTGGAACTGTGTGGCATTTTAAGTAAGACCTAGCATTCTCAAGGAGAGGGTATTTCTTAGAGACAACACATACAGATTCATTATCAAAGAAAGTCATTATCTACCAGGAACATGGGTCAGGGCAATAAGCACCACAGCTCTTGCTGCAACTTCCCCAGAGGACCAAGGGAGGGCTTCCAAAGGTGCACACGGGGGACACCCTGTAGCTGCTGTGCCATAGAAGAAAACAAGTCTCCCTAATCTTGCATTAACCTACACAGGATTAGATTTAACATCAAAATCTTTAACACACAGAGTGAAGAACTGGTACCCTTCAGTGACTGGCTGCTTTCAACTTTCTCAGTTTTCTCACTGGTAAACATGGATAAAATGAGTTAATATGGTTAAGTGCTCAGAACAGCATTTGGCACACGGTGAGTGCAGGGTAAATGCCAGCTTCTCATCCCAGCAGCAGTAATTGCAGCAGCAGTGAGGTTCCAAATGTACGTGTTATCTGTGCAATTTTAAACCCAAACAAGCAAGAATTCTATACCACTTCCATTTCTTATTTCTTTGCATTACCTGTATTTCTGATGCAGTAAGGCCACTTTTTGGGTTGCTTCTTCCAACACTTTTTCATCTTGTAACCACCCCTGAAAAAAACACACTGCAGTAAGCATGTAAAGAAGCCACCCAAATTTCTTGGGAAGAATCACTGCTACTGACTGTTACCAACTTTTGTCACTTCAGGCAAAATCAGTACTAGTATTGATACGTGGGAACTTAGCTTGAGTATGTAATCATGTCTTTCTAAGGAATAAGTGGCCTCTACTCAGGAGCCAAAACACTTGTCCTGGCTTCTCCATTTATCCAGAGGAAGTTCCCACTGAGTTCCGGGGTTGGTGATGTCCATTAGCCAGTTCTGAACCCAGCACGCTAACATCTTGTGCATTCCCAGGCTAGCCATGCAGACACTCAGAAGAACATATCCCTGCCCTTAGCAATCCAGTACACAGTTCTCCTTTCAAGTCCATAAGAGGTGACTAAAAAGGTAGGTCATCTATTTTTTAAATTGCTGCTAAGTCTCCAAATTCATTTCAACGTTAACCTTGTGAGGTTTTGAGCCTTCAGTTAAAAGCAAAATCTCTGCACAGTTCCTTAGAGGCTGGAAATGAATTCATCTCTTTGGACCCACATCAAAACATAAAACATTTATTTGGCAGCAGCCCTGTGACTACTGACCCTTCAGTTTCTGTGGATTTACAAAGACCAAGAAGACAACAGGGAAAGCATTTACATTTGCTTATGAAAGGAAGTTGATTTTATAACACAGTTTCTGCCTAGCAAGTCTACCATATTGGACTTGATTTCAGGGATTACTAAGGGCATGGAATAAACTGTATTAAAAGGCCCAGTATTAAAAGAAGTCTTACCACAGGAAGCAATGCAAATTTCTGAAGAAAGTCCTGGGATTCATACTGATCAAAGTTACCAAAGTCAGCTACACAAATGACAAATATTCACATGTCAGTTATGTTTAATGTGCACAGCAAAACATGCACAACTTAATTCAATATGCAGTGTAACAGATGGTGTGATTATTGATTTGGAAGTCAATTTTGCCTTATAGCCTATAAAATGTATATTTAAAAAATAACTTTTAAAGGTATTAATTAGGTAGATTCATGCGTCTTGATTTGGAAAAATGACTATTAATAAAGTAAAAAACAAACTATAATATGATCTTATTTGTATAATTAAAACAAGCAAAAACTACCCTATAACCATGTATGTTTACTTATGCACATAAAAATGTCAGGAAGAAACCAAACTGTTCATAGTAGTGAGTACCTCTAGGGAATGAAATTAGATCATTTGAATATGCTACAGCAAGATATATTTGTTTAGAAATTTTTCATTGTTAAAAAAAATAGTTCAGCAAAAGCTTATGAAAAATTAACTCAAAGCCAAAGATGACACTTAAAGATTCAAAGTACCTTGAAAAGGAATGTGGATCCATATGTATCAGGCATTTGTTTGTCTAGAAATGATATAAATCTCCATGTCTGCTAATATCTAAAGGAATTTTGTTACCGGTTCTTCTGACTAAATTTTAATTCCCAAGATTAAAACTCAGTTATCATTTGAAGTGATGCCCTATGAGAAGTCTTTCCAAAGTATATACATACAAATATATATAGAATTAGACATGAAAAACAACAGAATTTAACAATTAAAAAATACTTGTGAAATGCAAAACTTTATCTATTATGATTGAAATACTCAATAATCCAGGACAACTGTTTAAGAAACCAAACAAACGGTGTATGCTTAAAATCTAAGTTTAAACATAACCTCAACAACTTCATTATTTGGCAGATCTTTCTTCCTAAAATATTAGCTAACAGATGATCAAGTCCTTGAACTGGAGGAATATATAGCATACTAAATACTGTATATTTTTTCTCTCTTTTTGGTCTGTTTGCTCTGTTGACAGATAACAACATGCTTAACCTTCCACAAGTCTCATATTTCATTTAAGTAGTCCAAATTAATTTTTTCCCCACAAGGAGGCCGCTTAGATATCAGAATATTTCACTAATATATAAACACTACTACAGAAAGTCAATTCCTTTAAGAATCCCTTGCTATTTTTGTTATAGCACACATTTTAATGTGATAGATCTATTACATTATCAATTGCCATTACTTACCTTGAACAGCTAAACCTGCTAGCTGAATTGCTTGTTCTAATGTACAAGGAATGTTTCCTTCCAAGATGTCTTTCTTCAGCTGCAGATAATACTGATACCTATAAAAAATGTCAATTTTAAGAAATCAATTTTAAATATTTAAAAATTTTTACCTGCAATTAAGACACAATACATTTCACCATGACTTGGTAGGAGAGCATAAACTAAATAAAAATTTAACCCCAGATGGTTTCAAAGAATGACAAGAATGTCCGTCCATGACCATATCTACAGCTACACCCACACACAAAAAACATAAATACATTGTGATCAATTTATTGAGTCACTTATCTGTTAACTAATTATTTCAGAGCTACAACCATCTAGAGGACAACTGATCATCTGTCTTATGCCCTGTAAGACCCTAACTTTTGTTATTTTGAGTTGGAGAAATAGAGAATCAATGGTCAATCTTTACTTTGAAGATTCTAACTAGTCACTTGGTAACGTAAGGCCTTACTTATTCTGGTGTAAGTTCCCTAGCCCTGGAAAGTAAAGCCAGAAGAAAATGGTTCCCAATATTTCAGACTGGGCTTATATTAAAATATTTGTGATGAAATCCCAAAGAGAACAGCTGCTAAATGCTTTCTTAGTATTTTTGTAATGTGGGTTTACTTCTGCTTACACTTCCAATATAAAGGGCACTAGTTTTCAGCACAAGCTTTAGTTAAACAGCCCTAGATTAAATTCCAGCTCTCCAAAATTCAGCATTTTGCATGAACTTGGGCAACTCATAATCTGTGGGCTTAAATTATCACTGCTAAAATGAGGGTACTATCAATTCTCCACAAGGCTGAACATGAATTCAAGTATACTAGAACACCGCTGGCATTCAACAGTAGCTGTCATTATCATCAGCAGTCAATACTTTTAGCCAGTCAGCAGTATTTCTTTTCATCTATATCATTCTCCATTTTGATAAAGCTCTACAGTGAAGGTTCATGCTGCCTTACTTTTATTTATTCATGAAACAGGTAACTACAAAGGCCTACTACATGTCAAGTATTGTTCTAGACACTAGGGATACAGTACCAAACAAAGATCTACCAACTCTCTGCCAATACAGACCACAGAACCATCTTGAATTCAGAATGTCTTTCAGGTTTGGCATCTGTGAAGTGCAACCCAGTTATGCTTCACATTTGAATTCCTGAGAGCCTATCCCTTTAATCATTTCATCTGTCCTTAGATCACTCTTTTATTTTAGCTAGCTTTGAGGGTCAAAGAACCTGACCAAAACACTATCCATTCAGACAAGAATTTATATCCAACTTACCCCTTCTATCTGCTAGTAAAAGAACCCCCAGATTTCCCTCAATTGGTAAACAGAATGCTGGTAGCTCTGGGATCTTGTCAAAGAGGAAAAATTTAAACTTTCTGCTAAGCAGCTCCTTTCAAAGGTATATTTGAAGATTGTATTTGGAGAAGTCTATGCAGTGAGCCTGTTGCCTACATACTTCACTCTAAAAATTCTAGGTTTTTTCCTTAAATCACTTAAAACACTCCTGGACCAAATTAATTTAGTCTTCCACAGAAATATTTTTTTGTCTTACATTATACTTTCACCATTATGAGAGTTTGATTACTTCACATTCGCTCTGAGTTGTTCATTGCTGGTGTAAATGTCTTTTACATAAAATCCCACCCGAAAATTTATTTTTAAATGACATGCCAAGAAAATGTGCCATATTTGAAAATCACTGTGCCTCTTTTTATCACATACTGAATGGTGAGACTCATAATATTCCTTCTTTTGCTCTGACTGCCATGAAGCTCAGTACTAAAATCTAGGCACAGCCAGTGACTGATAAACCTCCTGCCACCCTCTTAACCGCTTTCTCCACCATTTGATTAAAACCACCTTTTTATTATGAGGAGGAAATGGAGCTCAGAGATTAAATAATTATGTTCAAATCCACAGAGGAAGGCTGAACTGGAGTTTGAGTCTAGACCCTAAAGCTCATGTTCTTAACTGCACCAATCTGCAGTTACAGATTTTTCCAGCATTTTTATTTCACTTCTTTTCGTAATTCCATTCTAGAGTCTATAGAGTCCTATGGCTGTGAGGACTCAGGAGCCAGCCTACTTGAATCCCAGTTCCACTGCACACTATCAGTGTGACCTTGGGCAAGGTGTTCAGCCATCCAGGTCTTGGTTTCTTCATCTACAAAATGGAGATAATAATAGTACCTACTGCATAGGATTTGTTGTGAGGATTAAACCAATTAATGTATAAAGTGTTTGGGATAGTGCCTAACATAAAGTAAGAAATGAGTATGGTTGCTTTTATTATTGTCTTGTATTGTAGTATCCCCCAAATCCTTTAATGATAGGAAATATATATATAATAGATATACATATTTACTGTAGAAAAAGACAAAGAAATTTTACTTCAAAGGTATTATTATCACTTTCTGTTAACAGATACTTTTGGTTTATAAACATGTTCTTTCAATATTTATTACAAAAAGAATAAATAAGAAACATGCAAACCTGAATTCAAAACTGTTTGTAAAGCAAGGAATAAGAGATGGCAAATCTTAATTCTAAAGCAAGCATTCCATAAACTGGCCCAAAAGCCAAAGATGCTGATTAAGACTAAAGAAATATTTTATCTAAATCTTTATAAACTTACTAATAAATTCTCTAATATAAAATATCTCTACAGCAAATCCCAGATATCATAGCACCTACAAGTACTTTTGATCATATCCCTAAAAGGTAAGCTTTAAAAACAAAAACCATGCATTTTTAACACATCCAACAAAAATAAACAATGCCTTAATATTACCTAATACCCAGTCCATGAACAATTTTTTGATTGCTTCAAAAATATATTTGTAGAGTTTTTTAAACTATTGGGACCCAAACCAGGTCCACAAATTACATTTGATAGATATTTCTAAATCTCTCTGAATTCTAAGAAAGAAAGAATCCTCCATTTTTGTTATTTACAGACAAAATGGAGTGATTCGTCATGTAGAATTCCCCACATTCTCGATTTGTGTGATTGTACTCTCATGGGATCATCGACATGTTTAACTTTTCCAGTTTTCCCTGTGAAATGTTAGATCTAGAGTTGTGCTAACAGAACTTTCTGCAGTAGCAACAATGAGGATTTCTGTGCTGTCCGATATGGTAGCCATTTAGCTAATGTGGCCACTGAGTTAAAAATTAAGAGGCAGGTAGGAACTAGGGACTAAGGAACTGAGAAAGGCCCCTTAAAGGAACATGACTTAGCTTTAGAGTGGAACCAGTTACCCTTCTGCCGCCTAAAATATGAACGTGATAGCTAGGACTTCTCTAGAACTCCATGAGGTTACCCAGTGAATGGGAAGAACATACGGAGGAACAGAGAGAGAAGGAGCATGGGTCCTCGAAGACTTTTTGGAGCTGTCAGCAGGGCTGACCTCTGAAATCCTTTTACAGAAGTCAAAGAAATTTAGGGTTTTTTGCCTATGTATAGCCATACTAACCCTTACTGGGATAGCTGCTCTACCAGGTTCTCTTACACCTGATTAGATACAATCCTAGTGATAGAATCTACTAGACCTGTCCTCTCTCAGCCTTTGCTACAGCTAATGCCCTTATTCAAGTCCACAGTCTAGACAAAAGCCTAGATTACAGCACAGTCACTCCTAACTGGTCTCCTACATGTACTCTGGCCACCCCTAGTCTACATTCCATGATGGGGATCTTAGCAAACCGAGATTTCCTCATTGCATCCTGCTGAAGTTCAGAAACGTCTTTCCCCATCATAGCATGACTTCATGACAAAGGCATCTCTATTTTTCAAATCTCCTCTCCCCTCTCTAGGAAATATCTGAAATTCTCTGAAAATATCACTGGCTTATACAGTCCTCCCTGCTTTCTACATGCTATTCCCTCTAACTAGAAAATTCCTTCTAAAGTCAACAGAAAAGTCAACTTCTTTACCTTCTCTGCTCATGTTCTCAGTGCCCCACCCCTAGGAATCCAGTGCTTTAATTAAAGCACTTGTTATCATAATATACTATAATTATTTATTTACATAGACTGTCAGTTCCACCTGACTGTGAGCAATGCCTCCAGGGTGGGACTAAAGTACACTCACTTGTACATTCACCTCCCACAGTAACAAATACAGTTCTTGTATCATACTGCATTCTATCTTCAGTAAATGTTTTAAAAATAAGTCAAAACACCTCATTTGCTGATTTTTCCTCCTTGTTTCCACTTTTCTCTTCAGTGTTTACATCTTAGATCTGCTTTACAGTCAAGGCATGTTTATCCTCACTACCTGATTCTCGGCATCTGGGGTTTTCCATCGTCTTCTAATAACTGGCAAACAGTATCTACAGAGAACATTCCACAAACATGAGGCAGTACTAGGTTCTTACTATCTACACGGCACTTTGTCAGATATTATGCAAAAGGTAAAGCTTAAAAGAAATGGGTGTAAAAATCAGAAAAGGATAAGATATGTACACAAGTAACTGTAATGAAAGGCTGTGACAGCTACTAACACAAGTATAATCAAATTTCTAGGACAATTTGGAGACAGCAAGGCTCATTCCAGTCTGGGGATCATAGAAGCTTCATGAAGGAGGTGCCTGTTGAAACAATTCAGAAGATGAATAGGATTCCAGTACATAAATATGAACAAACAATCTAGGACACAAAGATGAAAAGGCATGCAGCACGTCCCAGTCACTGGAAGTAGTCCAGCGTGCCTCAAAAGTACTGTTAAATAGGGTTCAAAAGGTAGTGGGGATTTCAGAGAACTTTGAAACACAGGCTCAAGAATCCAAATTTTATTCCTTGTTTTTCTGTTTTGTGTTTGTTTGTATTCAAGGGGAAGAAAAAGAACATTTAGTTCCTCCCTCTTTCTCCTTAATAAGATCTTCCTTTTCTGCCTTTGTCCCCTTTAAGTGCACTTACTGGCCTCTCCTCCCCACCCCCACCACCCATTCACCCTTCCACTATACATATATTCCCTTCCACATTTTATAGCTGCTAGAGTCAGAAAACTGTTAAGAACAGTTCTGCACATTTCTCTGAGGAAGGAAGACAAATTTTGTGACTAATTTTCTGCAATCTCCTCTTTCATTTCATTATTACAAAGATAGAAACAAATCAACAACAACATTAGTGATACCCCTACAGAAGAGTTCAAGGCTAGAGTAAAAACATCATTTTTCCCTTTATTCATTCCTTTGTGCCTAGTCAACCCATAACACATGCAACATATTGTAAAATCCTCTGGCACATACCAGAACCTGCATGTAATACTGTGGCTAAAAATGTGAGTGAGAGGGCAAAGTTTAGTCTTATCTCCTAGACTTCAACCTTAGTTTCACTTTTTTAATCTCACTAGATTATTTCCTAAAACCAAACTGTTCTTCCTCACCTGGTGACCTCCTGCTGCAGCTGTGACACGGAAGGTACATAAAACACCACTCCAAAATAGACAGTAGGCTCCGATGCATGCTTATCCAGCTGCTTTTTCAGAGGTTTTTCCAAATCTACCCACCGGCGCTGATTCTGCTTGTTGTAGTACCAGAGGCTGAAGTAGGTGATCTGCAAAGAGGGAAAGTCACTGAAGGAGGGAGAAATAAATGTACAAAAGGATTTCTGTTCTTTAATTGCCCAGAACGACAATCTGGGACTAAGTAACAGCAGCCTCCAACTGCTTCTCTTCTCAGAAAGGGACAACAGCAAAACCTGAAGGAAAAAAAAAAAAAAAGCCAGACCTTCCTATATCTAGATACTCATACTCAGGAAACAGAGGTGAGAAGTCAATCACTCTGCAGCCTATTTCTTGAATTCTGCACAGAAAAATGCATTCATAGCCTAGACTTCAGAATGTAATGGGTGCTACACAATTTTACATACACTCTTTAACAAAAAAACACACTGAAAGCATGTCTAGTTTTTAAATTATTGAAATACTAAATTCATCATAATTAATATCTTATAAGAAGCATAACTGGGGTTCTACTTAGTTGAATTCTAACTAGATAGTGTTAATCCAAATTTCACTACTCTAGAATTTGGCTTCTATAATTATTTCATCAAATATTGTAAATTATAGTAATTAATACAGGTGCCAACTGCAACTGATCTTTGCCTCCAAAAGTTCTTTAGATACAAATTTAAAGCAACTACAATGCAGTGGGCATTGTGTCTCACACACACACCTGAAAAGCTATATCTAAAGCAGTAAGACACATGTATTACTCGGAGATTTCCAAAATAAGAGCCCATATATTCTCTCTTAGATCTCATTAGCTATGTAATAAACCGTTCAAGTAAATCAATACTAGCCCTGGTTTAAGTCAACCTTTAAGGATATTAATGCACTTACGGGTTGAAATGACAGTCTCAGGCCACTGCTAATATTTACCTCAAAATTAATTTACAGATCAAGACAACTAGAACAACCACTGCTTTGTTCTAGACTAGATCATCTCTGTTGAACAGAACTTTTGACAATGATGGAAATCTGCATTCTCCAATACTGTGGCCACTAGCCACATTTGGCTGTTGAGTACTCGGAATGTGGCTAATGCAGCTGAGGAGCTAAATTTTTAATGTTATTTAATTTTAATTGATTAAATTAAATGGCCATAGCATCAAGCAGCTACTGTATTGGATAATACAGTTTAGATCATCAATAAAACAAGAAATAATACTTAGGCTATTTCTTTAGCCTGTAATCCTCATTAAAATAAAAAATAAAATCTTAACTTACAGGGAAAGAGTGTAACTATACAAACATGCCCTCAATATTCATTTCCTCTTACAACATTTTACAAGGCAAGAACTATACCTTTAAAATGAGTCTATTCATCAAATAAACTGGACAGATGAGGAATATGTCCATTTTCCCTTTATATCCAACCAGCTAGAACAGTGCAGGAAGTCAGGAAATACTGTTGAGTGAAAGAATGAACATTCTCTTGCTTTTTAGTTGCCACCAAGTCATTGCAAATGAATGAAATATTTTGAACATTTACTATGTGCCAGCGTCTATTCCAGAAACTATAGCAGTATCACAAATTATATCACCACCACTACCTGACAAAATAGGTATTTGTGTGTGTTAAAAAGTCAGCGTTTTGCCAAGTACTGTTCCTGGACCACATATACCGGAATTACCTGGAGAGCTTCTTGAGCTCTACAGAGCTATTAAACTCCCAAATAATTCCTGAGCCTCTTAAAGCTTGAAAACCACTCCACTATACCACACTGCCACCCAATGTTACACAGGAGATAGTTGCACAACCCATCTATCCTTGACAAGCTACACGGAAATCAAATTTTTGAAAGTCCAAACACACTTTAATGCAGCAGAAAATCTGAATCCTACTCTTAAATATTTCCTGAAGTTATGTTATTTATAAAATGAATTACATGTTATCCATGAGGACAGACATGTATCACATTTATGGAAAATTGATACTATTCCTTCTGCCTTTTAAACTGCAACTGACAGGAAAAAAAAAATCTGGTTTAACAGAAAGAACATGATGCTGAAAGTCTGAAGTCCTGGGTTAACTTCCAACACTGTCACTTGCTAACTGAGAAGCGGGAAAGTCAATCTGTTCAATTCAGTTTTCTCAAGTGCAAAATAAAGTAATACTCCCTCACAGCTCCATCACGAGTACTGAATGCAAAACTTCTATGAATACATTTTATCACTAGAAAAGCACTATATTTTTAAAAGATTACTTAGATACACTCACTCTGCTAAATACTGCAAAATCAATTATCAGCTCCTTCAAAAAAAAAAGAAACTTTTCTAATTACTTACATTTATTTGATTGATTACAACACATTTTTGTTAATTTTATTTATATTTTGTGTTCCATCTTAGAACTGGACTGCATGTACCATATTTGGTCTATAACTGCTGTACACTTAATTACATAAATACTTATTTTTTGCCATAAATGCAGAAGGTTTAGCATCCTTTAGGACCTAAAACTGTATGGTCATTAACAGTATGTCACTTTTAACCAAAATTGAAAGGTCATAAAAAATGTAAAAAAAAAAATACTCTTTGTATACATTACTTTTCCCTTTAAATACAGTTGGACTTCAATGCTCCAAACACAAAAATTTAAACAGAATTATAAATAAGGTTGTGAACTGGTCACTTATTTAATTACAAGAAATAATCAGCTAGCACTCTTAAAAAGTCACATTCTAAAAGAAATAAACTAACTCTTAAAACATGCAAAGTTTATACTTTAGCAATGCATTAATTACTCATGCCACACACGGACTGAAAATAGAAAAATACATTTGTGAAACTGCACCATAATTAGTTTTTTACAAATTATATACCTTTTAAAGGAGTAGCAGGTACTTTACCTAATAGTACAAACAGCTCAAAAGAATATTTAGTAAATTATTTGTTGATTAGCTATTTTAGATGTAGGAGAGGCTAAGATTTGGGACATTTGAATACCAACCCATTTATGTGGTAGTAAAGTATTTACTTTGGTACTTGATCCTGTGTTCAAGTTCTGTCTTAAGTAGTAGTTAAGGCTAGGCAAGAATCAACTTTTTATCTTGTTAAATACTTCCAAGGAGGTATATTGGAATACTTCATATTAATATGAAGGGAAAGAACACAATCACCTCATTTGACACAGAAAAGGTATAATAAAATCCAATACTCTTTTGAGATAAAAATACTCAATGAAACAGGAATACAAGATAGCTTCTCATCAAAAGCATTTATGGAAAACTTACAGCACATCATAGTCTATGAAAGACTGGAAGCTTTCCCCACTAAGGTCAGGAAAAACGTAAGTATGCCCGTGTTCACCATTGCTGTTCAACACTGTGCTGGAAATTCTAGCCACAGCAACAAGATAAGAAAAGAAAATAAAGGCATCTAAACTGGAAAGGAAGAAGTAAAACTATCGCTATGCATAGATATGATCCCATATATTAAAGAAATCCCCCAAATCTGTCCCCACCAAAAGAAAAAAAACAAAAAACTACTAGAGCTCATAAATTCAACAAAGTTGAAGGGTACAAGATCAATATACACAGATCAGTGTGCTTCCTCCTTAAAAATGTAACTGTCCAAATAATAGCCAAACTGATTTCTTCCTTTAAAGTTAGAATATACTAGGACCTTTGTTTTTTTAAAGAAATACAAAACATTGGTACAGATAGGCTCCCTGTGTTCCTTACATTTCAGCTATTACTAGCCATTATTTAGTCTAGGTAGTTTCTCTTAATCACATGTCTTCTCAAGTCCAGATTTTCTGGGTTATGCATGTCCTGTATTTTTTATTACAATTAAACCAAGCCCATAAAACTTTTCCCATAAGCATCCTTTTATTACTGGCTTGCAGTTCATGCCTCCCACCCTCTTTAACTTCCTACTATCTTTCCTGATAAGAAAGTTTACCTCCATGTGGCTTCTCTTTCTCCACAGGTGTCTACTCTCTCTGGTAACAAAAGCAAGCTTACGTGACCTGTGAGGAATGCATTCCAATGGAAGCCTCTAAATCACTGAATCTCCTGGCAGCTTCTAAATTAATTCTCAATTATCACTGGACAGATTTTTGTGAAACTTCTTCACTGTCAGATATCTTTACATTCACCCTTTCTTTCCTATTTTGTTCTGAACATATCAGCAGTCTTCATAAAGTTAGTTATTCGATGATTTCTCATAGCTGTTTAACTTTTTCATAGCTACTCTCCTAAATTTGTACAGATAACTGTGCCTGCTCTGTAAACTATGGTAAAAACAAGAGTTAAGTGGTAACAACACAGCTTCTTTTCAGACACAATATGGTTGACTGACTTAAAATGAACCAATAACATTTACTCTGAGGACAAGGTGGTTTGGTAATTAAACTTTCTGTTCAGAGGAAAAGATAGTTCACAAATTTTTGAGCTTGGGTTAAAGATGTGCCCCAATCACAGTCATCTAAAGAGACACCAGCTATTATG